TTATTAGTTGTTTTTTCTTACTTTTTGGACAATATTCAATAAAATTAATTTTTGGTTCATTTTTTTTAAAAAAAAAGTCAATTACTCAATTAAAACAAATGTGTGAGATATTCATTTAAAAGAAGAATGTTTGATTGATCACAATTGAATTGAGAGTAATATTTATATTTTAGTTTTAGAAATGAGGCAATAAGAGAGTGTAGTGGTTTGAAATCCTCGATGAGCTTTGTTTTGTAGTGTAGGAGTAGGTTGAGAGAAAGTTAGGGGCGGCTAAACCAAAATATGGCAGAAATCCATGAAGTCATTGACAAGTGGAATGAGTCATGTTGGTAGATGTAGGCTACCTGGTTGAGGTCTGCGATATGATATTAATCGATGGTTAGAGACTTTGAATGACATGACGCAGAATCGTTTGCAGTGGCGCAGGTGCGTCCACTTTTTGTGTTCTATCAAATCCTAATCTTCTGGATTCTTCAACACCTCTACTTTTGTCTTTCTAAACCTTCGTGAATAATATCTTGGAACCCTAATCCTCTCTCTATTTTAGTTGACAGTTGCGTCTCTGTGTTAATAATGGTATGACAAACTGAACTGATGTGCTTACGTACGATGTTCTACGTTGCATCTGACTGACTGACTGATTTGAAATGGTGGGGAAAATTTGTAGCTCAAATAGATTAGTGTGACAGGGTTTCGTTTTCTGAATGGGATATTTTCAGAGAGAGATGAAGTATTCGAATTCCTACACCGTGAACCCGAAAAATCATAGACAAATGTAGGATCTACCATTATAGAGTTATGGAGATTATTTTTTATTACTAACATGTGAATCAGTCATTTTTAGACAGACATTAAAACCCAGGAAGCAATGGATCAGAGTTTCATCCTGGTATGAAACTCATCAGCAGTGCGCACCAACAACTCTTGCTACGACAAGTGAGTGACATCTAACAAAATCCCTAGATTGATCAGAGTTAGACGTTAACACCGTTGGTTGCCAGCCCAGTGATTTAGAGGTTGGACGTTCGCGCACAAGCTCCAAGGTCCTGGGCTCGATTCTTGCGAATAGCAAGAGTTTTCGATTTACACTGCTGATGAGTCCCATACCAGGACAAAAGGTTCATCCAGTGCTTTCTGGTTTCTAATGGTATTCTAACAATGATTAATTCACACTTCAGTAATACACATCAAAGTGGGATACAGTCAAAATAAAGATGCAGACATACCATCAGGTTAAAAGTTAATAACAATCAATCAGGATTGAGGTCAACAGAACAAACTACGAGTTTTACATGGCGAAATGTAAATACTTCACTACTACCTGAATTTGGTGTTGATGATGTCGTGTTCAGAATAACATTGACAGCTCCACAACCAAAACATCCAACTCAGAGAATGAAAATCCATCAGAGTGTACTGTGTCTAACAATGATTGTTCGGTTTATCCTATGGTTGACATTATTGAGGACGTTAGATCGCCAGGACTCACTCGGAACAGGTCCTAATTTTGTAATTTGTTTCTGAGATTTTTAATTTTTAACGTTTGCGCGCATAAGATGTTTAGTTGACCTTCAGCTTGAATTTCCCCCTTCGGAAAATCCTTGATTGTGATTGGTTAATAGATTAATCTAGTTCAGTATTATGTGGCTCTCCCAAGGGCGTCCCTATCATTGTATAAATAAGTTTGATTTGTGTGCTTAGCAAGCTTAATCTTTCTGGGTGTCTGTAGAATACATTCTTTATGCCTTATCGAGTCTTCTTGCTTTTGTCTTCGGGGCCTGGGACAATCGGATAAAAATAGTCTATCCTGTCACTGTATCATTTATCAGCGCTCCGCTTACCGAGTGAGATGAACTCGTAGCGTTTTCAAGCATATCAGTTGACGAGCAAATCAGACACTGAATTTAGTTTAATCGTGGGGATAAATTAAATTCATGCTGGTTACAAAAGACGATGGTCATAATGGAGTTTTGTTCTCTGAGATGGATGGATTGATTGTATGGCTTTGATTGTTCTTCTAAACAATATCATCATCGCCAGCAGCACAAACTTCAGGTAGAAGTGAAATATTCAAATTTCATCATGTTTGCCTGGTAGTTTGTCCTGTTGACCTCGATTTTGATTGGTTGCTTTTTATTGTCCTTTAACATGTCGGTGGGTGTGTCTGTATCTTTTTTCGTACTGAATTCCCCCCTTGATCTATTGTTTGCTCTTTTATTTGTCTGTAATTGTTCTGATTGGATGATTGTGCAGAAAAGTGAGTTACGAATTTTCTCCCCTATTGCAAAAACAATTGACTTTTTGTAGTCAGTAGCTTCAGTCAGTCAATCAATTACAACGTACAACTTCGTAAGTACTGACATCAGTTCAAATTGCCACACAATATTATCACAGAGAGATCAAATTGTCAAATCAAATCCCATGGTAGTAGAGGTAGTAGTAGTATTAGCAGTAATCGGAGAGATTAGGGTTCGAAGATATTATTCAAGAAGTGGAATCTAGTGAAATAAACTTTCAAAGAAAAAAATGAAGGTGATGAGGAATTCGGAATGTGAGAATTTGAGAGAACATAAAGAATGACTGTACGTGCGTCACTGCAAACGGTTTGGAGCTAGTTAGACATAAACACCGTTAGTTACTGGCCAAATGGTCGATTCCTACGCACTGCTGATGATTTTCGTGACAGGATGAAACGGCTTCCAGGTTCCAAAAATAGAATGAAATATATGTTACAAATGACACTGACAGTCATAATTCATTTATTTATTCTATTGTTTGTTTGTGACTAATTTGATCTTGAGTGACATTAGTAACCAATGGTTGGAGACTTTGAATGATATGGCTGAAAATGGTTTGCAATGGCGCAGGTACATTCATTCTTAATCTTCCCTCAAATTGTAATTTTTCGAATTCCTCATCACTTTATCTTTATTTCCTTAAGTTCATTTCACTGGATTATACTTCTTGAATAACATCTTCGAACCCTAATCCCTCTCCGATTACTGCTAATACTTTTACTATCTCTACTACAATGGGATTTGAATTGACAGTTGGATCTCTCTAAGCTAATATAGTATGGCAACTTGAAATGATATACGTACATACGAAGTTGTACATTGCAACTGATTGACTGATTGTTTATATGTGTTTAGGTAAGGAAAATCATTAAGTGCAATCCGTGTTTATACTACTATTATTATTAAGTAGACGAAAAGTGATCAGAAGAAATCAAACAACAGTCACATGCAATGATTTCTAATCGATCGATAGATGGTTTTTATGCGGCTAAAAATCCTTTCATTCTCTGTGATCATCTGAAATTGTTATCAATGATCTCTGTAGGAATAAAAGATTGAAGATGATTGGTTTTTTGGTAAACGTTAGTAAGATTTCATAGTTTATATTCAAATCAAATCACGTATTGGACAGTCATCGTTAACATGCATGCAAATCGTCTTACCTTGGTACTGCGATCAAAATACAAGGTTTAGTACATAGGAACCTATATCAAATGTATTCAGTAGTCAGTTAATTTTGATAATTACTCAATTGTAGTTAATCCCTGACGAATTCAAATTTCAGTCATCAAGGTACTTGCTTAAGGTTATATCACCATGATCGTATATATAAGCATAAGGTTGATACGATATGATAAAAATCAGAATATTCTAAACCCAAACGCTTTACTCGTTAGAGAATCAATGAGGATCGTTGGAAATGACAATATCTGGTCTTAAGCAAAAGTGAACTACATGAGAGTGTTGTGGAGATTGTTGAGTTACTTTTTAAAATCATGAATCGATCTATGTTAGACCGCCATTAGAAAATTGGATGCATTGAATGGCCGTTTGGTCCTACTATTAGACTCGTCAGTAGTGCTCATCCATGACTTCCGCTGCTCTCAGGATCAGAATCCAGGACCTTCAGTCTTGAGAGCGAATGCTTAACCTCTGGACAATGAGACGACATCTAATGGCGTTAATGTATAACTTCGATCAATCCACGATCTTCCGCAACCTAACCTACTGTCTTCGGTGAGCTCTCCCTCATACCCGAACAGGGTTGAACTTTACTTCTCACTAGAACTCAGAGAAACTTCCTCACTCATTAGTGAGCACATGATAATTTGCATGAGAGGGTTGTGAAGATAGCCAGATACCAGGTCCTAGTTTAGAATCCTGTGAGTAGCAAGAGTCGCTGATGCGCACTGCTGCTGAGTTCCATACCAGGACGACATGGTTGTCCATTGCTTCCAATTATATAATCATTGTCTAACACTGATTGATTCCTGATTTCAAAAATATCAATTACTCAGAAATCAATAAACAGACTATATCATAGATGAGTGAAATCATATAGAGAAATGATCATAACAGTAGACCGAGTGGTTTTTTTTAGATAAAAAATGGTAGTACTTCTTACAAATAAAAAAACTGACAATCAGTTTTCAATATCTACTTGGTTATTTATTTTATTTCATAATGTCTAACTGTAACCTGAAAAATCGGGTTGTCATAGCAAAATACTCCGGATTCGTTGGCCAGACACTATCAGCAACAACGTACTGTGGGAGAGAACAAACCAGATTCCAGTAGAGGGGGAAATCAGGAAGAACAGGTCGAAGTGGATAGGACACACACTACGAAAAGCACCGAACTGCGTCACAAGAGAAGCTCTCACATGGAACTCTCAAGGCAAAAGGAAAAGAGGAAGGCCAAGGGACACATTATGCCGAGAAATAGAGAAAGACATGAGAAGGATGAACAAATATTGGACAGAACTGGAAATGGAAGCCGAGGACAAAGTTGATTGGAGACAACTTTTGTGGGCGGCCTATGCTCCATTGGGGATAATAGGCGTAAGTAAGTAAGTAATTAAGTAAGTAAGTAAGTAAGTAAGTGCATAAGTAAGTAAGTAACCCTATTTTTATTTCAAACAATCTTAACAACAACAAAAAATTTCGTTTTAACGTAGAATTCTCTATATTCTACATATACATATATGTTAAAAATGTATTTTCATAGTTAAGTTGTACATAATTTAAGTTTTTTGTTTTTCAAAAACAAGAGAAAAGCAAACTAATCAATCACCGAAAGAAAATGGTTATATCGTTAAAAATCTTTAAATTTTTAAGTTTCATAGTAAGCAAGTCTCATCCCCTACAGCAAAAAAAACCCATGGACGTTCTCTGTTTTTGTTTATATATATATAGATTCAATAGTTCAATACATAGTCGTACAATGATAATTTGGTAATCGTTTTTTTTCTCGGCGGGATTCAAAAAAGAAACAAGCCTTCATTCAATCAACTTTAATTTCTATCTTGTTGAGGAAAATGTTCTCTTTGAATACTAGTTGAATTGAATTTTGATGATGATGATGAAGATGGTGTTTTTTTAAATGTGATCGGTATAATTTTCTGTCCATATTCATTGGTACAATTTTCAAATTTTCTAATAGCACTAGATACTGGTAATATGCTTTCAGGTGATTCATCAGTATTGACTGTAATATTTTTCATCATTGGTGGTTCATTGTCATTGTTTGTATCATGTAAAATATGTTCAGTTTGAAAATTTTCTGATTGATAACGAGAAATTGTAGATAAATTATTGGTATTGATATTATTAAAATAAAATTGTATTGTACGTTCTTGTTCTTCAGCAAATTCTTTTTCTGCAAACTGTTAATAATGAAAAATGTTTTTGCATAATAAAGTATACTATTGATTAGTAGAATTAAGTAGTTAAACGTTTTAAATAAAATATCTGCCCAGGTTAATTTAATGAAAAGTTTGTTATTTGCTTCCTGCTGATCACTTACATTGAAATCACCTTTTTATGACTCGGTTTTTTGTGCTGTTCTATTTTACACAAAGGCATTCGATGCCATGACGCAGTAGATTATTTTCAATCTTTCATGGTTCTTGACAGTTAAGTGGCTTGGAGTACTTCAGTCTGTGATAATATATCTATGAAAAAGGATTGATACAGTTCATCAACTACTATCTGAATACTCTGAAACAGCCTAAAGTGGAGAGAGTGCTCTCTCTTTATCTACATGTGTATATCCACTATCAGCGAAGTTGGATCAACCACCATCTCGTGACCGGTTTGTTGCCGACATAATTGATAAAATGAAAAGCGAATATTCAGTTGCGGATTCAACCTAGTTGGAAGGATCCGCCTGAAGGAGTTAGGAAACCCTCATTCTAAACCAATGGTGTATTTGGGTTTCGGGATCACGATGGAATGAATAGCGTACGAACCCATAGATATTGCTAGATCCCCTAGTGGATTAATTTTCTGGGTCCGAAAATCGAGGAATGATGTACTAATAAAACCAGCTGTTTAGGTTCGGGAACCTAGAAAATATTCCAGCCCACTCATGAATTCAATAATTTATGTGATGCATAAATGTCTAGGCGCCTCTGTGTACCGATGTTTATATGTTTAAATCAACAAATAAAACCATATTGACAACAAAACTCTGTGCTTCATATTCCATTATGGTAAACGAAATCAAATTTATGCGTTTTATCAAAAATTTTGTAAAGTTAATTTATTCTATCAATCTGAGAAGACTGAGGCAGGAGAGGAAGATTGTATCATGCGAATTTACACTCTGAGTCAGTTAAAAACGAAAACATTACATTGAATACTCTATTTGCACGCCATCTTTGAGTCGTGACTTCCAACACTCCATCCTTCTTCCATTCCTGTTGTTGCTTCCTTTCCTTCCTGTTGGTACTCAATTTACTTCTTGCTTTTGCCCCATTTGCTTTCCGTTTTCCTCTTCTGACCGTGAGACTTCTTCTTTCATGTCCCTTATTATCCTACTTATATCGTTTGCATAAGTAGCACACACCACAAATCCATGTTGCCATTCCATTAATTAAAATGTAGGAAATTCGGAAGAAACTTTCATTCAAAAGTATTTACTAACAGTAGTCTATTCAAGATATTGGGTTACCTCTGACGAGGAACTATCAGCAACTACCTACTGTAGGAAAGAATAAACCACATCCCTCCAGCTGAGGAAGAAATCCGAAAAAAGTGCAGTAGGTGTATAGGAAACATATTGAAGAAAGAACCCAAATGCGTCAGATGATAAGGCCGCATTTAGAATCCCTAAGGTCAAAGGAAAAGCGTAAGACCAAGGAACATATTACGCCAAGAAAAGGAGACATATATGAGAAGAATGAACAACAACTGGACAGAAATGGACAACTAGGTCCACAACAGAGTAGGTTGGAGAATGCTGGTCGGGGGTCTATTGTCCATTGGAGGTGATGGGAGTAAGTAAGTATCACAGATAATTTAGTATTCAGTTTAATTATATTATTGGTTAACCAACAAGCCTGCTGCACATGAACGCCACTGCATTTTAAACAACACAAGAGTCCTCACAAGAGCCAACATTGCGATCACCCCTGCCCCATACGGGAACGCAAATGTTATCTAGATTGGTGTTCAGACAAGTGGACGTCCGAAAAGCACGAGAACGAGCAGTGACCCCCGTCCGGGAACTTATGAATCGACAAGATCCCTCCAACCAATCCACTACCCACAATCCCTAATCGGCAATGGGGGCAAGGCGGGCTTTCCCAGCTAGACCTGGCGCCTCGAACGGATTACCAAGCCACCCAGCAGTGCAATAACCAGCAACCATTCCAACCGTCTTGGTCAACCAACATGCCTGCAACACATGCAATTTTGCTGCTTTTTACACAACCCAAAGGTTAAAACGACTGCTGAAACAGGATTACTTTTGCCCCTAAAGGTCCGTACATGTTATCTGTTATCTCACGCAGATCAGTCGGGCATCCAGTCAATGTAAGCATGAAAAGCCACTCCTATATTGGTTCTCTTGAATCATCTAGATCACTCCAAGCACGCCACTACCCAAAAATCCCAAGTCAGCAAGTGCAAAAGTGAGGGTAAACCGAGCTAGACATGGCACTCCGTACAGGTTAGCGAGCCACACAGCAGTGCACTAACCATCTGCCATTCCAACCATTCCAAATGGTCCCCAACTCCCTCACGCACAGGACAATCAACCGAAGCACTCGAAACCTCCATATAAAGCCAAGGATTGATTAGCTGTCAAGGTCATTCAGAATGTACACACTCCCATAGGGTCGATATCATGTACTCGACTGAGTGGGTTGATTCCACTACAATAGGGTGGACAGACATCATGTGCAATTAAGCACCGGTTCAACTCAGGATCCCATAAAACCAACTGGAGACTCTTACTTACGGGAAATGGACACCAGCTGACAAACTATGCCGAGGCACTGGGTATTCAAGTCAACCACATAAGGTCAGACATCCGTAGTCCAGGATCTGTACGGTTGCTTCAATGAACAAAGTCCAGGACCGCTTTAAAACAGCTGGAAAGCTACATCTCTTTTTAGGGTATTTGCTACTACCAAAGACAAGTCCTTAAACCATTATTTCGATTTTTTTTCGCTGGATGGACGGAGTCAGACTAACAGACGTTCAACCTGAATTCCCTCAGAAATGCGGCTACGTATCTACAGCCTCGTGACCATGGACACGTACCATTATTCTGGACTATGTTAATCACAGAGCTGTAAACAATGCCACATTGCGTAGGGCGACCATAAAGAGATAGCCATCAACACAACTCTCACAAGGCTCCATTTACGCCACGTATTCATCAATTAGATGACGACGCATTTGGCTACCTTATTCAGTTTAACGAAAAAAAGGAATATTGGCATTCGTTTTTAAACTTACTTTTTGTGTAGCTTCCAATGTTACTGATAAATAAGCTGCTCGACTATCAAAATCCATTTGACAACGTTTCAATGCGGCATTTTCACTAGTTATTAACAATTTCAATTGTTCTGTTTGTGATTTTAATAAATTTTCCGTAACAGATTGTTGTTGTTCTAAAATATTTGTCCATAAATCACTTTGACGTGTAGTGATAATGTTTAAAATTGTTCTTGATAAAGATTCATATGCCTTTTTAGAAAAGAACAAAAAAATGGAAACAAACAAAGTAATGAATACTTATCATGATTGATTCATAAATTTATTGGAACATTGAATGTAAACAGCATTCAGCGGTCGAAATTGGTAGTTTTGATTTTGAAATAACTTACTTACTTACTTACTTACTTACGCCTGTTTAACCCCAAAGGAGCATAGGTCTCTGATTAGCATTCGCCAATCTATTCTATCCCGGGCCTTCTTTTCCTGCTCTACCCTATTATTGTTCATTCCTCTCATGTCTATTTCTGATTGTTAGAGTAATGTGTTCGTTATTCTTCCTCTTCTCCGTTATCCTTGAGGATTCCAGGTGACGGCTTGATTTGTGACGCAGTTGGGTGCCTATCTCAGTATGTATTCTATCCACCTCCAGCGCTTCTTCCTGGTTTCTTCGTCCTCTGGAATCTGGTTTGTTCTGTCCTGCAGTGCGTTGTTGCTGATGGTGTCTGGTCAATAAAAACTTGTATCTTCTGAGTGATGACATTTATAGTTTTCCAAGTTTCTGCCCGATACAGTAGAACTATCTTGACATTTGTATTGAAAATGCTGACTCTAGTGTTAGTTGATGTTTGTTTTAAGTACCAGATGTTTTTCAATTGTAGAAATGCTTTCCTTGATTTGCTGCCTAATGGCGTCTTCACATCTGCATCAGATTTACCTTGCTTATCAATGGTACTGTCTAGACATGTAAAAGTTCTTACATCTTCTAAAGCTTCACCGTGTAGTGTGATTTGGTTGGTGCATGTTGTGTTGTACAGGAAAATATTGCTTTTCCCGTTGTGTATATTGAGACCTACTGTTACTGAGGCTGCTGCTATGCTTGTTGTATGCTATTGCATTTGTTTTGCGTGCTAGAGAGAACAGCTAGATCATCTGCGAAGTCTGGATCATCTAGCTATATCCTATCTGTTCACTGGGCTCCATACTTTTCCCCAGATGTTGACGTCTTCATAATCCAGTCGATCATCAGGAGAAACAGAAAGGATGAGAGTAAGCAACTTTGCCTGTGTTTTGAAATAAAGGATGGTGCATTGGATTGAATATGAAGATAATTTTAGCGAAATACCCAAACAAACCGGAAGAAACTATGTTTCTAGAATAGTTAACATAAGAATAGAAATTGCCTTAACAAGAACATATCCTATAACTAAATTTAATGTTTCATCTGAAACAACATGTTCTTTGATACAATCAAATCCCGATTGGTATCCCTTTTCATATTGCCACCAGCTACGTATACACATTCACTTGTATCTTCTGCCACAGCAGTTAGATTAGTAGAGTAAAAAGACAAACCTACATCTGATTCAAAGAACATATTTCAGAAAGTCTCAAGTCATTCAGCAGTGTTATCTAGAGACATAGCATTGACACAGGATGTCTAGTAGATACATATGCTCTGATTACATCATTTACATTTTTCTTGAATTTACAGTTTTGATTCTGGTTCAGTGATTTCAATTCGTATATTATTCTTCACTGACATCACTTCTCTATCGATCACTTCATTATACAAATTGAATCTTTGATTACTAGTCACAGATCTGTTGTTTTGAACTGTCTCTCTTACAGTTTATGTATCTGCAAAATATTTTAATGACCTCATTAATTTTATTAGAAACTTCACTGTATTCTGATACACATATCTATTTTCGAGCAGAGTTTTTGGAGGTTTGTGTTTTTACACCCTGTCGGATGTAGGCAGTAACTACCAAAGACAAATGGGTGAGGTCGCGCAAAATCCCTAGATCAATCAGAGTTAGACATTAACACCGTTGGATGCCGGCCCAGTGGTCCGATGGTAAGGCGTTCGCCTACAATTCCAAAGGTCCCGGGTTCGAATCCTGCGAGGAGCAGGAGTCGTGGATGCGCGCTGCTGATGAGTCCCATACCAGGACGAAACGGCCGTCCAGTTCTTCCAGGTTTCTAATGGTGGTCCAACAATGATTGATTGATGATTTCAAATGTGTAGAAACACATACCTATCTCTAATCATTTTCGTATTTATAGGCATATCGATTTACATGATAATTTGGATTATAAAATGTTATAGGTCATAAGCAGCCGGTAAGAAGAAAAGAGTTAAACAAGATGAAATCATTTTCTTCTGTACTAATCTTTGTTTTTGTTCCCTTCAAAATAATAATACAGAAAAATGTGTAGGAAATAAGAAATTTACTTAGGATAAAATATAACTATTCCGAAAGAAAAACGCCAAAATCATGAAGAGTAAACCAGTTTGATGACAAGCATGTATATGACCGGTATGAATATAAAAACTTCAGGATAACTCCTGTTAATCTTATTTTATTAATTCAAAAACGGTGGTTCCCTTTGATAAATTTGAACAGAGAAATGAGAAGACATATTTTGTGAGATAGTACCATTTCGTGCTTTCTCGTCAGTCACATACAAGCAACATGTTATTCGTGTAAATACAGTTTTGAAGATAAGGTCAAAATTTCTTATTTAGCATGATATTCACTCACTAGAACCATGGTAAACAAAGGTCAACATACAGTTGTTTTTGAAGACATAAAGTTGGACTTTTCCGACCAATCAAGATAGCTTCGAGTAGTTTGAGTGTGTGTGGGTTTTGATGACTGACGAGAAAGCACGAAATGATACTATCTCACAAAATATGTCTTCTCATTTCTCTGTTCAACTTTATTTTATTAGGTTTTATTATCTCAGGATATGACATAACAGATTAGAATGAATCATTAAAAAACAATGACTTGACATCTTATTATTACTATCAGTCAGATATTGATAGATAATTAATATGTGAACTGGGTATTTTGATTTCACTGAGCTTAAACATTTTAATAATTTTTTGAACTACTTTTAATATTACAAGTAGTCAAATTATTATAGCATAATTATTGAAGCCCTGATAGATTTAACGCATTTAAGAAAAATAGATGACCAGTTAAAAATCACTCATTTTAATTTACGCAATCTCGACCAAAAGTATTTTTCCATTGAACTTATTGTTGGCCACCTTTAGAAAGGGGTTTATAAAGTTTTTAGTCTATAAGTAACGTTAACTCACTAAAAAATAGTAGTTAAATCACACACACATCAAGAGTGGAGAGATTCATTACTTATGCTACAGATTTGAGAATATTTCATTCTTTACCTTCTTTTATGCCAATAATTATTAGTTGTTATTAAAAGAAATTAGAAGTTGATTTGTCACTTTCAAGATTGAAAATTTTTGATTTTTAATATTTTCATGAACTTGATTTATTCACTTAACTGTTAACCAAAGTCCGAGGTATGAGTATCGTTAAGATGTCAAATATATGGAGCCACACAAGTCCAGGGGAGTATTAGTCAATAAAACCTGATGTTCTTTAAATCATATATCTCCACAAAAGAAGAAAAGTAAGATTCTTATGATCAACAGAATTTTCTATTCAATTTTTTGTTTAAGTGTTGGGGATGTTAGATCCCCAAAACTCGCTTGTTAAATGCCTTATTTTGGATTCTACGTTTGCCAGCATGGGTTGATCATTTAACTTTGAGATTTCATTTCCCACCAGCAAAATCCATGGCTGTGATCGACTGCTGTGTAATTTAGTGTGCTATTTTCTTAACTGTCCCAAGGACGTTTCTACGATGCATAAATAAACGAGAATTGTATACTTGATTGTTTTGTGATTGCTGGGTGTTTGTAGAATATACTTTCTATGCTTACAAAGTCTTCTATCTTCAGCTTGGGACTCAAGGTAACCTACCTGGATGCTGGTAATTGTCTCGTTCGCGTTTATCGACTAAGGTAAACTCGTAATAGCCTCAAGCATACTTAGTGACGAACATAATATTAAGGCTTAAATTATTGTTTTTAAATGTGGAGTTCTTAATGTCTGATTCATTATGGATCCAATCCGAAATAACCAAAGTAATACTTCATATATAGAATAGATAGAATATGGCTGACAATGGAACTCAGGAGGCACGTTTCATTCTCTGCTGAACTCCTCAGCTGCACGCATCTGCATTCCAGAATTGATGTTCACTCCGAGACTCAAATCTATTCCAAATTGACTAAAAATTACTGCATGTACTGTAACACTACTTTTATATCACACAGAAATATTTATAACAGTACACAACGAATTATACAGTTTTAATTGGATACATCCGTAAACGACTAAGATTTATCAAACAATATCAGAACATTGATTATAAATACACATCAATGTTTATTAAATACCTCGTTAAGGAACCGAAAAGAAGCATCCTCTTGTTTATATTTTATCGAACTTTGGTAAAAAGCTACTTAAAAACTAACTTTTGGGGAAGTTAGATCCCTAGAACTCACTTGGAAAAGGTTCTTACTTTGTAATTTTATGTTTTCGCGCCGAAGACCCACATTTCGACCTTCAGCTTGCATTTCCCATTCGGAAAATCCTTGACAGTTATTGGTCGATGTATAATTTTAGTACGATATTTTTGTGGCTCTCCCAAAGGCGTTTCTATGATATAAAAATAAACTAGATTTGTGTACTTGTCAATCACATATTATCTGAGTGCTTGTGAATACGCTCTCTCTATATCTTATCAAGACGTCTTCCTCTAGTTAGCCGACCATGGGAAAATCGGATTAGAATAGCCTGTCGCGTCATTGCATAGGTAATCTTCGCTCCGTTTACCGAGTAAGGAAGGTGAACTCGTAATAGCCACAAACATATCAACTGGCGGGCATATCATTAACTTCAGTAAATAATGAAGCAGACATTAAAATTCAAAAATCAATGAATAACTATTCTATCGAACTATGATATTCTGGAACAGTATACATTCATAGAATTACAAGGAATCTAATACTTTTTAGTTTTCAACATATAAAATGACTCGATTATGACAATTATAATATCTCAAAGACTTTATAAATCTTTTGCAATCAAATACTACTCACAAATTGTAAGTAGATAAAGTTTACATCAAATCAAACTACATTCAGTAAGTTTATTTTGACGAATCTAATTTACAAATGAATGAATCCGATTTCAAATTATGAAATTATCATCTTTGTGGTTTTTTGATTATCACCAAATTTCCTTTTTGGGATCTAATCAGAACTGAGCAAATATAAGTGTATTAAACGCTGGCCTAAACTTTATTAAGCGTTAGAGGCGTAAGTAAGTAAGTAAGTAAGTAAGTAAGTAAGTAAGTAAGTAAGTAAGTGTTATGCTTGTCAGTTGATATGCTTGAAACTATTACGAATTCACCTTACTCGGTAAACGAGAGCAAAGATAAATGATACGATAGGCTACTCTAATCCGAGCATCCAAAGGCCTCACTAAGTAGAGGAAGAAGTCTTGATCAGACATAGAAAGCGTATTCGACAAGCAACCAGAAAATCGAGGTTCACAAGCACATAAATCGAGTTTATTTATACATCATAGAAACAGCCTTGAGAAGGCCACAAAAATAGCATCAACCAAGAGCAGTCAAGGACTTTTCGAGTGGGAAATGTAATCTCAAGGTCAACTGATCAGCTCATGCATGAAAACATAAAATCCAAAATCAGGACCTTTATCAAGTGAGTTCTGGGTATCTAATGTCCCCAGACAGTAAGTAAGTGAGTAAGTACGCAAGTAAGTAAGTAAGTAAATACATGAAAATTTAAATTCATAACAAAAGCCTGTAAAAGTCAACATTTTAAACGTAAAACAATCAAATAAAATAAAATACTCACACTTATTGTTGATTGAATACTTTGTGTTGATTTTGCTCTAGTTAACATTTCATTTTGTTGATGAACTGAATTTTGTAAATCTGTTGGTATTTCAACAATTTTATTTCTTAAATTAGATTGTTTAAATTGATAAATATTTTCATTGGAATGTTTCAATTTTTGTGATATTGCACTACTATTACTATGACTACTATGACTACCTTCATTTATTGAAGTTACTGGACTTGAGGCATAAGTCATTGGTATGAAATGATTTTTTTGATTCCCAGTTATAATATCCTCAGATGAATATTCTTCCGTCACGAGATATGGTGATGTCTCAACTAATCGATCTAAAATTGATGTGGATTGTTGATATTCATTGAAATTCGGTGGACTATTGGTTTGATCAACATGTTTATCTTTTTTTAAAAGATTCTCTAAAATGCGTATAATTTGTTTTTGACCTTGAATAGATTGTTTTAATAGTTTACATGCAGTTTGACGTTCTACAGTTTGTGATTCACCTAATTTTTTCAATGTTTCATGACTTGTATGATTACGTTGACTTAATTCATTAGTATGTATTTCACATAACCATTTACGTTGTATATCAAAATATGATTTTGTTTGTAATCTAGTCATATTACCTAATGACATAAGTCGACGTTGTTTTAATTCGCCAAGATTGAGAAGATATGCTAAATTTGAATAAAAAAAGAAATGCAAAAACAATCAAGTTAATTACGTCATAATCAAACAACTTGATTCATTTAAAAACACACAGTAAGAATAACAAAGTTTACAGAATAAAATAAGCTCTACATTTTGTTTCACGATTTCTTATCGGTTGCATAGATGACATCTAAATTTACGGTTTGTTTGAACTGATGATTTGAATCTTCTCATTTTATCTGCCTGAAGCCCCTTTGGGGCTACTGTCGTTCCTAGGCTTGGATAATGAAGGAGGGTTGAACGTGGGGTTAGCGACTCCATCCTCTAGAAAACTAGCTCGCTTAAAAAAACGATAAAAAACGCCATTGATGTTTACGATTGCAGGTGAATTGGCTCTTCGACAGACGTATATCTTGTGTTGATATGACCATTACGTCAGAAGCATTAGAAGCAGAAATGGATAGTGGCTAGCATTGAAGCCAAGAATGTGTGTTTTGTCCTATTTGAAACTCACCTTTAGCAAGATATACTTGCATCCTAGAAATAATGTTTGCCTCGGGATTCGAAACTAGCACCTCATACTCCAAATAACGGCATCAAGTTATCTACTCAGCTACTGAGTCCAAATAGCCACTGACTAGTGTAATAAGGTGAAGTTGAGCTCATTTGGATTGATGTTTTGACTCTTCCCAACTAATCGGTTAGTTTGGCATATATGCATACAGCAGATTATTAGGATAGTTGGTAGATTGAAAGTCTCAATGTAATTATTATTAAATTTTTGGCAAATTTTAGTTTATAAAGTTTGGATAAATGTCGGAAATGTAGTCAAAACGATAATAATGATAACAAAGAGAAGAGTTGGGATAAAAGATATAGGCATAAACACAGACCAGAAAGTAAGAATACCGAGTAAAATGGATATTATAATCAAAATAAAAATGGTTATGTAAAAGAGCAATTAAATTAATAAGTGATTGAGTAACTATATAACAAACATGAAGACGAAAGAATCATTATTGATCACATTGAACTCATGACAAAATCATTGTTAGACCACCATTCGACACGTGGAAGCACTCAAAGACGGCCGTTTCGTCCTAGTATGAGACTCATCAGCTCTGGGCATCCACAACTCCTGAAGCTTGCCTGATTTGAACCTAGGACCTTCGGTGTTGAAATCCTAACCTCTTAACCACTGAGCCAGCATCCGACGGTGTTAATATCTCACTCTGATCAATCTAAGGATTTTTGAGCAAACTCACCCTATTCCAAGAACTGATTCTTCGACGCGAGATGAATTTTTAAAAGCTATAAAGTTTTGTTTGATAGCAATAAATAAACTTCTCAGTTTGATTGTTTGTTTTTATATGCAGATTTTATAAAAACATAAATCTTATTGTTAACAATTCAAAAAGGTCTCTACAAGAAACTGATAATGAATTTTAGTTTCTGTGTAAAATTAAGCACAGAATGGCCGTCATTTTTCTTTTAATGAATAATTTTTCGTGTGATACCATTTCACACTACTTGAAGCATTTCGCAGAATTAATGAAATATAGTTTATTGTTCTATAAATAAGTAAAGGCAGACAAAAGTGCTGACATCATTTACTTGTTTTGAAAAAATCTGTGTTAATCAATAAAATCTACTTTATTTTTATCGAGGATTTATTAGGAGTATATTATCGTCATAGTTTAAATCAAGAACTGATCTTAGCTAGACTAATAATTAAAACTTGGAAGTACTGGACGACTGTTGTATCCTAGAATGAATCTACGATCCGCCCTATAGTTCTAGAGGGATCTGTTGTGTATTATTTCATGGACCGATCAGTTGACCTTGAGGTCACATTTCCCACCAGGAAAATCCTTGGCTGTGATTGGTTACTCTGTCATTTTAGTGTGCTATTTTTATGACTCTCCCAGGGACGTCTCTACAGAGTATAAACAAACGCGATTTGTGTGCTTGGATTGATTGACTGATTGCTGGCTGGGTGTTTGTAGAATACACTTTCTCCGCTATATCTAGACTTCTTGCTGGTAAAATTTAGTCAAGGGATCACAGTAGCCTACCTGGACGCTGGTTCATTGCTTTGTTCTCGTTATTCAACTAAGCTGAGTCCGTAATAGTTTTAAGCATACCTAGAGATGAGATAACAAGATCATCACATTTAATGGAACTTGATGAATAAAAAACCTACAATGGTGTGATATACAGATCATTATATCCACATTTGTAAGTTTCTTTAATCTTTGCCTCAAAAATTCATCAATTTTAGACTAACACTTGAAACCTAGCAGAAGTGGACTGGCATTTTATCATGGTATGAGACTCATCGGAAGTGCGCACTCTACACACAACAATCGAACTCAGAATCTTCAGTCTCTTGCACTAAAACTTCAACTCTCGAGTACTGAGTCAGTATCCAACGGTGTTAATATCTAGCATAAATCAATCCACTATATTTCGTAATCTTAAGTGGGTAGCTACATTCTTTCGCCCCCAAACAGCAATTCACCAGAACTCCAAGGACTTGCTGGCACAAAATTACATTTTTAACTGTGTTCATAAACATTGATCAATTCATGATTACAATTTAAAACAAACAATTTACATTTTTTAAATTATTCGAATATGAAAAATAACCAATTTTTCATTCTCATGAATAAATATATTCAGTCACATATCACAAAAAAATATATATATAAAAATCTTCATATTGATTTCGAAATTGTTCACCCTAACCAAAATGATGCATAAAGCTACTTATGCTTGAATATAACCTTGACTAAACGGAATATTAATTCGAACAAACGAAAAATATCTATATCTCTATATATCAATAAAAGCAGGACACAATTTTAAGATTCTTATATATATATATATATATATATATATATATATATATATATATATATATATATATATATATATATATATATATATATATATACATATATAGTTACATTGTGCAAAATGTAATTGAAGCTAATCCACCACTATACACACTGTGTCGTCTTCAAACGTAAACAAGGTGCACATACTCACTCTCGCACACACACACACACAGACATGCAGACAATAAGATAGAATAATGAGCACCAACTGATAAAACCGAAAAAAAATGGCAACATGTTATTTTAATAACATGCATTTTTACATGCATTATGCAGCCAGCATCATCTAGAATGATTTGCAAATTCAGACTTTAGTCATGTTTACTACGAATAGTACTAGTACTACTACTACTACTAGTACTACTAGTACCAGTTAGTTATTCAACTTAGCTCAATTCGTTCGATTAGACAAATTGATTACAGGTGTAGTAATTACGACTTACTTTTTTTGTTCTACGGATGATAAATGTCTCTCTCTTTGTGTGTGTGTGTGTGTGTGTGTGAGCTTGCATTAGATAACCGTGATGATAGAGAGAGAGAAAAGAACTTACGAAAATCAAGATGCCGTTACATCATATTTGAACGAAATACGCGCTCATACAAACAGACAAACAAACAAACAAACATGATTAGCATAATTTCATAAACCGAAACTTGTGATTCAAAAAATGTTTCTATTAAATAATAAATAAAAAATAGGTGTAATATGTTACTGAAATTTATAAAACAAATCTCTCTCTCTATCTCTCTATCTCGCACTCATTTGGTTATCAGAAATTATACATTAATCAAATGTGTACATAAAGTTTGTTCAATGTACAAATGATCTATATGTTCACATTGAAAAATCCGGTAAATCAATGCGAAATAAATGACATTGATCTGATTGGTTGATTTGAAAACGTGCACAGATAAACTGTTCAAAAGTTCAATGTTTTTTTCCTATTCGTTTTTTTTATAATTCAAATTCTCAAGTGATTACATTAAAATACAGATATTTTTTTAAAAGTTATAAAATACAATTACTGTTTTTAAAAAAGAAAAAGTTTTAAATATAAATATCAGTGTAGGATTTTGTATTTAATGACAGAACTGATAACTTGATCTATTTTATCAAAGGTTTAACTAACTAGAAACACATGACACTATAGTGAGAATTTGGGTTTTTAGCTTGAAAACTGCTTTTTTTCAAAACAGAGTTAAGAATTCATTTAACTCAAATAAGTTACTATAAAGGTAGTATCCGATACGGATGTGCATTAGTTCAACTTCGTTTACACTACATTAGGACAAGAAGAGGAAAACTGAGAAATTTGAAATGTTTTTAACGACAATCATGGCCGTAAACATTGAACATCTAGAATATGGTTAATTCTACGCTGGAGTTATCGATCTTGATATTTGTTACCTAGTGCCTTTAATAACTGCTCATGATTTTCTTGTGAACTCCAGTCTTGTTGTTTTTTTCAATCTGTCAACATGACTCAAACCAGTAATTAAAGGTTTCGTGGAATGGTTCTAAAGTCATGCATGTAGGCATGCGTTGGGTGGGTCTACATAATATACATATTACAATCATTGGTGTCCATACAGATTCATTACCTTAATAACCGATTCACAATCTTTGACATATAGTCTGTATTAAACTCCAGAAATGCTCTCTCACTCAACTGATCTTGTAGTGCCTCCGCATAAACTTGAGTTCGCTCACATTTAATTTGATTAAGCCTTTCGATTAATTTATTTAACCAAGCAATTTTTATAACAATAACTTATATCTACCATCGGCTTTTATTATTGTGTGGTTTATATGAGCTGGTACGACTGAGCATTGCTTACCGCCTACACGCATGTTCATCCTATTCGCTTTAATATTGATCTCTTAAATATCACGATGACTAAGACATTTTCCTTTGTTTATATACGAACATTTCAATCTTATTAATTCACTCGCCCATTGGCACATTCGCTTGCTAGTGTACCTGCTCAGTCTGCTTGTGGTCTGCTATCCTATATGTGCTGTGTGCCAAAATAAACGTATTCAACACTTCGAGTTTACCTTCTGATTTATTAACCGTCAGACGCCATTTAGTAACGATTGTCTGGACGAGCTAATTACGAAGACTAAGAACACGTCAAAATTGGACACCACAATCTAACATATTCAGATGGTGGTTTGATGACACCTCCGACCAAATAATTAAAGAACAGAAACGTTTTCCATTTTCAAAACCCACGTTTACAATCTTAGAGTAATGCCTCGCTCACTTCTTCGTCTATAAGATGAGTGATGTAAGTTGGTGACATTTTTATGAGAATCTAGTTTATGAAATTTCAAAATAAATGAGGCAACTAATTGTTTTATCCCCTGTCACAGACTGGCAGTAAAGTAACGTTTTACATCTGGAGAGTATCAAACAAGTAGTTGTCAAAAACAATGGAATCTCACCTTTGAAATATGCCGTTACCTGATAGAAAGATTTAGCATTACGAGGTTGTGAAGATTGTTAAGTTACACATTTTTAGAAACCATGAATCGATCAATCTTAGACCATAATTAGAAACCTGAAGGCACTGGACGGCCGTTTTATCCTGGTATGGGACTCATCAGCAGTACGCATCCACGACTCCTGCACCCATCAGAAGTTGAACCCAGGACCTTCGGTATTGTGCGCGAAAGCCTAACCTCTGGACCACTGGGCCGGTATCTAATGGCGTTAATGTCTAACTTGTCACAAGACAAGCCTTCACTTGGAATCCTCAACGCCAAAGAAAAAGTGGAAGACCAAAGAACACATTACACCGAGAAACAGAGACAGACATGAAAAGAATCAACAACAGTTGGACAGAACTAGAAAGGAATGCCTAGGATAGAGTAGGTTCTAGAATGAGGGTTGGCGACCTACACTCTACTGGGGGTAGTGGGTGTAAGTAAGTAAGTAGTCAGTAAATATAAATCCATTTGACCTGTGAAGAAAAAGGATGCAGATCTCCTAGACATTATGAAAGAGCTTTCACAGATGAACATACATTCAGTTTTATAAAAAACTAAATAAATGATGCTTTTAATTATTTTAAAATTAAAACACCTTAGTATTTCTTCTTAGAGATGCATAATGTTAAAAACTATTTTCACTGATTTGAGTCATTATTCAGAAAAATATCATGATTAGTCAGGGTTTCAGTCATTCCGTTTGGATGAAGATACATTCGAATGATCAATCCCAAACATGATGTAATATAAGTTTACTCTGAATTTCACTAGTAGTCTAATTTTTAAACAAAAAATAATTTGTTTAATGTCATTTAGTATTATAACAGTAGGTAATTATTGCTTCACATGGGTCACGGTTGAACACCACTGTTCAAGGCTTCTCATTAAAAGCGCAACAACTTTTTCACGAAGTTAGACACTAGTGAGCACATAGTCATAGTCTTTATAGGGTTGTATATATTGTTGAAATCATGAACTGATAATTGTTATATCATGACTGAAAACCAAGGAGCATTGAGCGGGAGTTTCGACATGGTACGGGACTCATCAGCAGTGCGTCTCCATGACAATCGCAGTTGGGTGTCGAATCCAAGACCTCCAGATTTGAGCACTAACACCTGACCTCTCTATCATTGAGTTGGTATCAAACGGTGTTAATGTCTAACTCCACTGGCTACAGCTTCTCATTAAAACACCAGAAATTCGCTTACATAACTAGTCACTAGTGATTACATGATAATTGTCAGTTTGGTATTGTGCAGATTATTGAGTTTCATTGAAATCATGATATAATATAAAAATCAATAAAACCATTATCATATTCAATGACATCATACCTCTTCTTAATTCTTGTCTTTCAAGTAAACATTTCCATTCTAATTCAGCTAGAATATTTTTATTTTCCATTAAACGATTATAAAAACGTTCTTCTAATTCATTATTAAACTTTTTTAAATCATTTTCAATCAAAGATGAACTTTTTCTTGTTGTATTTAACATATGTTCACTTTTACTTAAATGTTTATTTAAATGAATAGACCGACCATTTTTCTTTGCTTCAAATTTGTTTAAATGATTTAATAAAGATGGCGGTGATATTGATGAAGTTTCAGTTGGTAATTGTGAAGAAATATTTGAATGTTCAATCAATGAATGATTATCAGTGTTATTATTATTATTGTGAGTAGTATTTTGTGAAATTTGTAAATTACTCAAAGAAAACGATGTTACTGGTAAATCATTGAAATTCATTAGATGACTGATACTTTGAGATTTACGATTGTACAGTTTCTTTAAACTTTTCTTCTCTGAACGCTACAAAAAAAATAGAAATTTTTTGAATGAGTTTTTTTCATACTTATTAAAACAAAAGTGTTATGTTAGCAAAAGAATCCAGAACTCAAGTTTAAAACTGTTTGAAAATGGTTAGCCAGCTCTATCTATCCATCAAGATTTGATGTTTGCTCTGGGATACGATCCCAATACTGTTTACCATTATGTCATTAAACTTAGCTATTGAATTCAGAGAGCTATTGATATTTCATCAGTCTTAAATGATAATTAGTGTAGACTGAAGTATTTTGTTTAGTTCAGCGTTAAAATTTCTGAAATACTAGGTTGTTAACATTATGTGAATACGGAGAATTGTATTGAAGAAGTAATGTAACCAAACAGCAAAACTTTCAGGGTATTGATTTGAATTATGATATAAGAGAGTCAATATTGTAAAACCTAGGCATACTATTCATCAAAAATTATGATTTTATAGACAAAATCACTACTATTCTCTGTAATTTTTGTCCGTGTTGTCATCAAATCTTGATTTTGATAGTTAATTTAAACTTTAGATCATAAAATTTACATAGTTAAATTTTCCGAAACAGTGATAAAATAACTGTTAACAAAAAGAGAAACTTTTTAATTGTCTCAAAGATAAGAGACATAACACTGAAGTCATTAAAATTATCGCCTAATGCCACTGGAGTCAACTGTTTCCTCTTCTTATACGTCTGAATTCTACTAATTACGAGAAGTAGCAGTAGTTCACTTGTGAAGGCGTTCGACTTCTGAGTTTCATGTTCGAAACCAGTTCCACTTATCACAGTTTAGACAAGCAGTTAGTATCATTTAGAGTATGGTCCATACTCAAATATTTGATAAGTTATTATTAACTATCAGTCAATGCTTTTCACTAAACCTTCATGAAACGTTTGAATCAATAAATCAACAGGTGATTAACATAGTTCAATTTACAAGATGTGTTCATCACATCTTTCTCCTATTACTACATACACATTATATTCATAAGACTTATCTGATTCAATTCCAAAATGACATTTCTTCTACTGTTTAGTTAATTCAAATTATCAATTTTATTCTATTGATTGTAATTTGAGACTTTTTGCACGACAAGTTTTTCTATCTTCTACCTTAAATACCGAGTCGAGTTTATCGATGAAAAGGGTGATATGTATTTTTAGTTGGTACATGATATGAAATGTGTATTCATTTGAGTGTAAAAATTATTGATTTCAGAAATTGTATAATCTAATGATGAAGTTACTCAAAATAATTTTTATTTGACATAAATATTTCTTTGCCTAAAATTTATATTTGTTATACGTTTTAATATAGAATAATTTCGAAAATAAGGAATATTGATTATACTAGTTTATAGTGTTTTTTAAGCTAACTACAGAGATTTTTATTTGATTGAACTTTGAACGTTGTTTTAATTATCATATACAGTTTTTGAAATTCGTTGTACTCTTGAGTTTTTTTTGAATTTCAGCAAAAAAAATCAGAAAGTACTACATGGTTATTTCAAAATAAAAAAGAATTTTCGTTCCATTAAATTAATTTACTTAAACTAAACATTCGTTTTTATAGCTATTTAATATATATATATACAAGTAGACAGAAACATAGGAAAGAGTGCGTCATACACTGATCTGAGATTTTAAATACTAGAGGGAGGTTACATAATAATCCAGAGTTTGAAAGAATAGGTTTAATATGTAAGAGATGATCGTCTACTTAGTATACTTGTGGAAAATGAGAGACACAAAGGCTCTAATAACGGGATATTAGTATCTGAATACGGTCTAGAAATGCTAATAATACCGATAAAAGCAAAGTAAAATCAAAAATACACTATAGAAAAGAATTAGGGTCAGAGTGGAATGAGAGGTTGGTTGATTATTTAATGGTAATGTTGAAAATATTCATTGGATTGCTTGTCTGATAAATGATAAATGAATAAATTTCTTTCGCTTATGAATATTATGTTAATAGTCATAATACTTGATTCTGTAGTATTTGACAAACAACAGATAAGCGATGTTCAGGTATTTAGGTTTTTGGAGACTTATTATGATCTGAAGGAATTTGAGAGAATGGATTGATATTTAGCAGGTTGTGTATAAAACATTTTTGTATAAACAAAAATAGACTGTCAACTGCCTCACACAAATTATGACACCTCAAAGTAAAAGTAGAAAGACAGAGAGAAAAAAATTAACATCCGTTATTCAAAACTAACTCACTACATAAAATGTAACATCCACTAGATACCAGATAATACCATGATAAAGGAAAGTGGTAGTCATGATTATAGAATTTCCGTACATCATATCGCGGATTGGTCGTGACAGAATTGTCACTCAAAACCAGGACCGACCGAACACTTATCTAGTCCTTGTAGTGATCAGCTCAACAGTGTACGTCCGAAACACTACAACATGGGATTGAAACCAGCATTGTCATTCACACATTCGAATACTTTACCTCCAGACCACGATGCCAGCTTTAAGTCCGTCGGATGACTAACTTTCATCATTTGACAATATTATACGATGACCCTCTTATGCCTGTAGTGAATAGGAATCTCATGCTTGGCATACTTAATCCCTCTTCCTAACCGCACTGTTCATAACAACCATTATAAAAGAATTTAGCAAAACATACTTTCAGTACAATTAAGGGACAAATAAATAGAAGTTACTGAATAAAAGTTTCACTGACTTACCAGTTCACATTCCAGATGCCTTCTGAATTTCTTTTTACTTTTCTCAACCTTTGATTGGAGATCATTCAACTGTTTCTTGTGAGACTTAACTAACTCTTTGTAAGTCCTAAAAAAGTTTTCACTTAACTCCTGAGTACAATATAAAAACAAAAAACGTTTAAACTACCTTTTCTTCATCCTTATAAACTTGTAACAAATACTGTTTCTTCTCCTTGCACAACTTTTGAAAATGTTGAATATCTCGGGTTATTTCCTTTTCGAATAGCATTATCCATCTGTAATGGGACTGTTCATATTTGTGCGATTAGCAGGGGTTAACATGTGGGTAAAGGGAAAACATCCAAAGTTTTAAAATGAATTATTAATAGTTATATTTGACTCGATTCACTATTAGACTATTGCCTTCTGTGTTTTACCAAATCAAGTTTGGCAATCTCAAGGTCAAGCAAGATTTGAATTGAAATTCTCAGCTGGTCAGCCCTTATTTGCTTTATTGTAGCTTACTTACGTAGATTCATTGGCAAAATTTCGTGTAATTGAGGCAGTCTGATTTATAAGTAGTTAAAATGTTTTTAGCGTCTTTTTAGTGTCTTGGTTCAAACCGTATCGGTCTGTATCTTTCACTAGTTTGAATACTTTCAGCATTATAGGAATTTTTGTTATCTCCAATTTGTTGGTGATTGGTGAAGTCAGACAAATATGCTGATAGAGTTGATTCTATATACTTCCAACTCAGTTATCTGTTCAGATTTGATGTTCCTTTATATGTATACATACGATTTCATCTTGTCTAGCGGAGGCTCTTAACAGAAATTTTTAAATTTTTTAACATACTTTTCTGTTTTCGTGTATAGATAAGTTACTTTAGCAATATTATTGTGCTTAGTTATTAAGGCTCAATAGGACTTATCGGGCCGAGCATTGTGCTCATCTACACATTAGCTATTCAGCTCGTAACTTACACATACGTAGGTCGTGTGTATACGGTTAGGGTTCGTTCGGGCTTTATGAATCGGCACTTAATATAACTAATTTGTTTTTGAAACATTTAGAACGCATATTCGTCTCATCATAAAGTACAGTTGAGCATTATGTTATTTGACCTTTGACTATTCTACCAGTATAGTTAGAGACCTTGAATGACATGGCTCAGAATCGTTTGCAATGGCGCATATACATCCATTGCTTGTATTCTCTCATATTCTAACTATCTGAATTTCTAATGACCTTTCTTCTGTCTTTAAATCGATTCCACTGGGATATACTTCTCGAATCATATCTTCAAACCTTTATCTTCTCCATTACCTCTAACATTCCTACTACATTTACTACTATGGGATTTGATTTGGCAACTCCATCTCTGTGTGTTGATATGGTATGGTAAACTGAACTGATGTACGTACATATGAAGTTCTACATTGTTTCTTAAACACATTCTACCGCTATGATATGGGCGTTAAAAATCTGCGGTATCCAGATTCCCCAGATAGGTTTCCTTGATACATTGTTATCAATTTGTGGAATGGTCATTTAGCAGACTTTAGAGCATTAAACGTATGCTTTTCGTGATTCGGCCACCTTAATTTTCCAAATAGCTATCACTTCAAAAGCAAGCTTAGATACGTTTGTGCTGGTAAAATTGCTTTCACCAAAGATTAGTCTCGTTTATCTCAAATTTATACACCCATACATAAACTTTGATGTGTCATAAAAACTAGTTCAAACGAAAAGCATTGTAACATTGTTCAGTACAATTCAATTTTTATTTTAACATTATTATAGGAAGCTGAGTTTTATGATGTCTTAAAAGCTACGAAAATTGGTCATTAACTATGGTTTGAAGCTGATAGTGTATCTTTTTTTCCCTTTTTCTAATCCAACTTTCCGTATTTGGCATCCTTATTTATTGGTTCGTTTCTCTTATGGCTTTTTATCTATCAGTATTATCATAACATGGCTACTAATTCTTCACTTTTACTCTGAATAATCTTACCTCAGGACTGTCCACTTTCTCCATTCTTGTTTAACTTCGTCATTGACGTGCTTTTAGGAACGAAACTTTCATTGTCTGACTTTTCAGGAGTTGAACATTTACCGCGAGATTCACTTGTTGAATTAGAATATGCCGACTACATAGTTCTGCTTGGTGAAGACACTGAAAAAAATGCAGTCTTCTGACTACCCTGAGTAACAATACAAGCATGTTCGAGATGCGATTCTCCCCGTCGAAACACGGAATGTTGCTTCAGGATTTGGTTGCATCGGTACTTGAACTAATGATAGGAAGTGAGGCAGTTGAGCGTGTCGACTGTTTCACTTTTCTTGGGAGTCTCATCAGTGCTGATAGCCTGGCGTGACGAAATCTCAGCAGGAATACAGAAGGCTCGACTGGCGTTTGCAAACCTGCTTCATTTATGGCGTAGGCAAAGTATCCGTGTACTGACCAAAAGATGAGTTCGCTCCGTCCTACTGTATGAATGAAACACATCCACTAAGAGTACAGAATATTCGTAGGTTACTAATATGTTATCATAGGTACCTTCGAAGCATTGCTAGTATATCCTGATACAATCGAGTAAGCAATGCAGCTGTTTGGAAAAAGGTACTAGGTAAGGATGGTAGATTAATTGATGAATTAGTGAAACATCATCAATTGAGGTGGTTGGGATATATTTTACGTATGCACAAACATAGACTATCTCGACGAGCTATGCTTTATGATGTAAGAGTAGGCTGGAAGATAGCTAGAGGCTGCCAAACCAAAACATTGCACAAATCTATGAAATCAATCACAACTGGATTAAGTCGTGTTGTTAAGTATCAACTACCTGGTTTGGGTCCGCGAGATGATAGTAATCGATGGTTAGAGACCTTGAATGATATGGCTCAAAACCGTTTGCAATGGCGCAAGTGCATTCATTCTTTGTGTTCTCTCAAATCCTAAACTTTTTAATTCTTGATCACTTTATCCTTATCTTTTTAAGTCTATTTCACTAAATTCTGCTTGATTAATATCATCGAACCCTAATCTCTCCGATTATTGCTAATATAGGATTTGAATTAACAACTGAGTCTTTGTGCTAATGTGGTATGGCATGTTGAACTTATACACTTACTTACCAAGTCCTACGATGCAGGCGACTGACCTTATTGAACATGTAATGTTGCATGTAGATGTAATGCCCAAATGTCAAATATCCTAATCTTTTATCTATTTGTACATTTGTGTAATACTTTTTGAGTTATAGCTAAAAGTCATATCCATCTGTTAGTCAGTCAGCTACAACGTAGATCTTAGTAGGTATGTACATCAGTTCAAGTTGCCATAACATATTAGCACAGAGATTGAATTCAAATCCCATGTTAGTAAAGGAAGTCTTAGCAGTGATGGAGAAGATAAGAGTTCTGAAGTATGATGCCAGAAATATTTCACATTAAAATAAACTTATGAGGAAAATAATAAGATGATAAAGAACTCCGACGGTTAGGATTTGACAGAACACAAGGAGTGGATGCACCTGTGCCATTGCAAACGGTTTTGAGCCATGTCATTCAAGGTCTCTAACCATCGATGACTATCATCTCGCCGGCCCCAACCAGGTAGTCTACAATTACCAACATGGCTCAGCCCAGTTGTCAGCGACTTCATGGATTTGTGCCATGTTTTGGTTTCGCAGCCTCTAGCTTTCTTTTAGCCTACTCTTACATCACACAGCATAGCTCGTCGAGGTAGTCGATGTTTATGCATACGTAACATATATCCCAACGACCTTAACTGATGAATTTCCACTATTTTATCAACCGTTCTGCCATCTTTACCTAGTACCCTTCTCCTAACGACAGTATTTCTTATTCGGTTTACCCATGATACACGAACAATGCTTCAGACACACCTGTGATTGTAAACAAGCAACCTAAGAATATCTTTTACTCTGACTGGCCATCCTTTGCATCCATAAAGTAGGATGAAGAGAACTTCTGCGCAGTAGACTCGTCCTTTGGTTAGCAGATCGATATCTCGTCTACGCCATAAATGACGCAAGTTGACAAAAGCCATTCTAGCCTTCTGTATCCGTGCTGAGATTTCATCAGTCACCAGTCCATCAACACTGATGAAACTCCCGATATCAGTCAAGCGATCAACAAGCCCAACTACTTCACTCCCTATCATCACTAGTTCAGGTACCGATACAAGCCAATATGTTGTTCAAATTTACTACTCATAACAGTAATAATAATCACATTCAATTTTCTTTTACCTTTTAGATCTAGAATGACTTCGGTTGAAATCAATTCACCTTCATATAAATTAAAATGGGAAGAAATGAATTCAATGGAAAATTCTTATTCTAAAGAAAAACCACATTATCCTACTAGTTCATTATCACCGAATTTACGACAAACTCAATTGAATTTCTCACCAAATTATCAATTCATAAAACTAACGGAGAAACAATGTCATCATCATAATGATGATTTTACTAGTAAGACGACTGTCAATCAATCGGCTCAACATCATTCGTATACTCAAACCTCGATTACTTCACATGAACCATTGTCATTGTCAACTAGCGAGTGTTCAACTGTATTATCTTCAATGATTATTACTAGTCCTAATCGAATTATGAAACAAACTATTTTGACGGAAACTGGAATTTCACCAGTAGGTAATGTATTTAAGAAACCAATTAGAAAGAAAAAAGCTGGTACTAATAAAAAGTGAGCTGTGTGCTGATTGTGATGATTACTATTGTTTTTTTAAAAATACATGATTATTGTAGATGAATAACAGGGAGTCTCATCAGCGCTGATAGCCTGGTGACTGACGAAATCTCAGCTCGGATACAGAAGGCTCGATTGGCTTTCGCCAACCTGCGTCACTTATGGCGTAGGCGTGATATCCGTTTGCTAAGCAAAGGACGGGTGTACTGCGCAGCAGTTCGCTCCGTTCTCCTATATTGCTGTGAAACATGGCCGTTAAGAGTAGAAGATGTTCGTAGGTTACTAGTTTTCGATCATATATGTCTTAGAAGCATTGCTCGTATATTGTGGGACAACTGAGTAAGCAATGCTGTCGTTAGGAAACAAGTACTAGGTAAGGATGAAAAATCAATAGATGAAGTATTGAAACTTCATCAGTTGAGATGATTGGGACATGTGTTACGTATGTCTAACCACCGACTACCTCGACGAGCTATGTTTTGTGGTGTAGGAGTAGGTTGGAAGAAAGCTAGGGGCGGCCAGACCAAAACATGGCAGATATCCATGAAGTCACTGACAAGTGGACTGAGTTATGTTGTTAGATGTAGGCCACTTGGTTGGGGTCTGCGAGATAAAAGTCACCAATGGTTAGAGGAGACCTTGAATGACATGGCTCAAAATCGTTTGTAATGGCGCAAATGCATCCATTCTTTGAGCTCTTTCAAATCCTAATCTTCTGGATTCGTCAGCACCTCTACCTTTGTATTTCTAACCTTATCCCATTGAATTATGCTTCTTGAATAATATCTTCGAACCATAGTCTTCTTCATTACCATCAATACCCCTAATATCTTTATCACTATGTGATTTGATTTGACATTTGCGTCTCTGTGTGCTAATTTGGCATGGCGACCTGAACTTATGTACATACGTACGAAGTTCTTACGTTGCAACTGACTGACTGAATAACAGAATATTATAAAGATTGCAAGTAGTTTAGACGTAGTCATGAATTATACTGAGGTTCAGCCATTGGATTTTAGCTGGAATATAGCTCTGTAAATATAGGCATTTATCATGCAAAATGATTGGAAATTGTGTTATTTGAGCCTACCTTGCCATTTTTCGTGATATATGATATTTGGTTTGGGGGAAAAGCTTAGGTTGATATCAAGTTCGAGGGGAATCATTTATAAGTATAATGTCAAACTGTGAAGTCCTATGCCAGTTAGTCAACCTTGTGAGTGATATTCAGTCCAAGACAGCTTGAAATTGATATCCAAAAGCCTATGGGAACAGTAGCGATATATATATATATATATATATATATATATCATTCCAATGGAGGAGGAAATCAGGAAGAAGCAGTGGAAGTGGATAGGACACACATTATGAAAAGCACCGAACTGCGTCACAAGACAAGCCCTCATATAGAACCCTCAAGGCAAAAGGAAAAGAGGAAGGCCAAGGAACACAATACGCCGAGAAATAGAGAAAGATATAAGAGGAATGAACAAAAATTGGACAGAACTAGAAAGGGAAGCCGAGGACAGTTGGTTTTAGAAAACTGGTGGGCGGCCTATGCTCCATTGGGGGTAACAGGCGTAAGTAAGTAAAAGTTTAAGAAAAATCAGTGGATTTCAGTGGCATCTACGGAACTGATGGGAGCTCGAAAACACTTTAGAAAGGCTCTAAACGTGATGAGTAGTGAAGGCAGCTTGGACAAAAAGCCTACTCAATGAACGTGAGTTGTGGTGGGTTGTGAAAGCAAGAGTTGTAAACGAAAGCAGTGATACGCAACAGTAGATATCTGTTCAAACTTACCACCGGTTACGATTTTCTCGTGGACCCCAACCATGGTTCAGTCCAGTTGTCGATGACTTGATAGACTGGTGCTTGTCGAGTTAGTCGGTGCTTGGACGTACAACAGTACATGTTGAAACCATGTCAACTGATGTTAATTTCCTACTTCACCAGTAGATTTTCTATCCTTACCTAGCACTCTTTTCCTAACTCCAACATAGTGAAGGAGAACACAGGTGAGGGCAACCGAATTGTATTTATCTCAAATTACAGAGTTAATTGGTAAAATAGGAAAATCATATCGTAAATCGTTAATTTGCAAAATATCAACCCATCATATCGAACTGGACTGTTCCTGTTGCAAACATCAATCCATTGTATGACATTTCACTGTTCATGCGTTTCATAGAAATCCCATTGTGTTCCCGCTCTTTATTTCATGATCTTCCCCCATCTTCTGCTGCCAGACATTACGTTTTTACTCGTGCCGTATACTACTTATAAGTAGGGCGCACCACACTCGTCCCACTTTTACTAAGCTGTCGTCATAGTCTTTCTGATCGCCGTACCGCTGTCTTCTTTGATGCTTTCTTGGACTCACACACTTGATAATCTTGAAACCACCTCTGCAGTTGACTGGCATTTACACGCTTCTGCTTGTCTTCTCTCCGGATCGTGTACACCGCGCCGCATCTCTCCGTGATAACGAACGGTCCGTCCCACTTTGGGATCAGCTTTCCCCACTCTGATCCCCCTGCTATGCTACTTTTTTGTTCTCTACACTTTACTAGGTTATACGTGCAATGCTTCGAAGACATCTCTAGTCAGATACTAGTAACTTACGAATATCCTCTACATTTAGAGTTCGTGTTTCACACCCATAGAGTAGGACTGAGCGAACAAATACACAGTTGAACTGTCGCTTGTTTAGTAAACACATATCTCGCCTATGCCAAAAGTGAAGCGAGTTAGCAAACGCCAGTCGATTCTTGGGTATAAGCGACGAGATTTCGTCACACACCAGGTCATCAGCACTGATGAGACTCCCAAGATGAGTGAAATCAATAGTCTTTTTTGATAATAATACAATTAAACAGAGAAATAGTTTATAAATTTCAGTAGTATATGAATTTAACCAATTCGAATGTCATGCATACATACTTTTTTTCAGTTTACTCCCGAAAAGTAATTGATTCTACTCATTTTCTTTAAAGAACCTACCTGAAAATTCTGCCAGAACACTTTTACTACTTTTTATGTATTCAGTAGTTTCATACAATTCATATCATTTTGTGATTCATTCTCTTTATTATATTTTTATTAATATTAGATCTCAAGTGAAGCGTTCTCGTAGTGTAGATTCACCTCAAATCAATACCAATAATCATGATAATGATGGCTTAAATAAAAATGCTTCTGTCAAATTATCTTGTCAAACAACAACAACAACTACTACTACACGCCTTTGTAAATCTGCATCAGTTACTCCAAAGAAGAATATACGCGTAGCAAGTGATTCATGTGTCTCTATACAACAAAATAAACAAATGAACAATCATAATAAAACACCATTACAAACACAACTTACATCCTATGGGATACGGAAAACTGCTCGACAATATGCTAAAGAAATTCAGGTAATGATAACTTTTTTGCACAATTAAAAGGTACTTACTTACTTGTTACTTGTTACCACCCCTAATGGAGCATAGACCGCCGACCGGTGAATTATTTTTCTGATTATCATTGTTTTTAGAGAGTTGAATGTCACACGGAATGGGGTCGATAGTCGTATGCCCAACCCTCCTCTTTTATCCAGGCTTGGGACTAGCAGTAACCCTAGGAGGGCTCCAGGGGGAGTTCAGGGCTGCATTTTACAAAATTTCTGTTCGATTTGTTATTGATTAGTTGATTTTGAGGTTGCATAAATTTAACTAAACATGCATATCAATTGTTTAGGCTATGCTATAACACTGTAATCGATTTCAGCCTCTGATCTAATTGAATATTGTGTGACTATTATTTGGAGTCTAACTATAAACATTGTATACTATCTGATATTGTTGGAATCAACAGGCTGCATCATTGATGTACAAGGTGGATCTAATGCAGATGTGAAGGCATGGATCGGCTAAGCAGGGGCAGCATTTCCTCAATTAAGGAGTGTTTGGAACTAAAAACAACTGCCAACCAACACCACAATCAGCATTTTCAATACAAATAGAACCTCGAAGGCCATCATCCAGTTGTTTTCGCAAAATACTTTGGATCGGTTAGACAAACACTATCAAAAACAACCTACTATGAGAGAGAAAAAACCAGTTTCCAGTTGAGAAAGAAATTAGGGAGAGGCGCTGTTGGGTGAATAAAACGCTTATTGAGTAAAGAACCTGAGTGAGTCGAAAGGCATCCCCTTACTTTAAATCTTCAAAGCCAAACGGGAAGAGAAAGACCACAGGACAGATTACGCCCTAGATTGGAAGCAAACAGCAGTAGGTTCAGTGGCCATTGGTTCCATCAGGATTCTCATGCCCATGCGCACCATCGGTATTGAGACTACCTGGTTGGGGTCTGCGAAACAATAGCAACCAATGGTTAGAGACCTTGAATGGAATGGCTCAAAACCCTTTGCAGTGGCGCGGATGTATACATTGTTTATCTTCTCTCAATTTATGATCTTCTGAGTTCTTCATCTTTACTTACTTACTTACGCCTGTTACCCCCAATGGAGCATAGGCCGCCCACCAATTTTCTCCAACTAACTCTGTCCTGGGCTTCCCTCTCCAGTTCTTTTCAGTTTTTGTTCATTATTTTCATGTCTTTTTCTATTTCTCGGCGTAATGTGTTCGTTGGCCTTCCTCTTTTCCTTTTGCCTTGAGGATTCCATATGAGGGCTTGTCTTGTGACGCAGTTCGGTGCTTTTCGTAGTGTGTGTCCTATCCACTTCCACTGCTTCTTCCTGATTTCCTCCTCCACTGAAACCTGTTTTGTTCTCTCCCACTGTAAGTTGTTGCTGATAGTATCTGGCCAACGAATCCGAAGTATTTTGCGTAGACAAGTGTTCATAAATACTTGTATCTTGTGGATGATGGTTTTCGTAGTTCTCCAAGTTTCCGCTCCATACAGTAGAACTGTCTTGATGAGTTCCTCATCACCTTTTATTAAATCGATTCTTTTAGGATGTACTTCTTGAATGATATCTTCGATTCCTAATCTTCTTGTTTACCACTAATACTTCTACTAAATCTACTAATATGGAATTTCCATAGACAATATGATCTCTCTCTGCTTATGTAGCATTACAACTTGAACTAATGTATATATGTAACAAGTTCTACGTATATCCTGGGACACCCGAGTGAACAACGCTGTTATTAGGAAACGGGTGCTAGGTAAGAATGGCAAATCAATAGATGAAGTAATGAAATTTCATCAGTTGAGGCGGTTGGGACATGTGTTGCGTATGCCTAACCACTGAAAGCCTCTTCGAGCTATATTTTGCGGTGTAGGAATAAGTTGGAAGAAAGCTAAGGCGGCCAGACCAAAACATGGCAGAAATCCATGAAGTCATTGACGAGTGGACTTAGCCATGTCGCTAATTGTCGACTACCTGGTTGGGGTCCGCGAGATGATAATAATCGGTGGTTAGATACCCTGAATGACATGGCTCAAAATCGTTCGCGATGGCACCGGTGCATTTATTCTTTGTGTTCTCTCAAATCCTAATCTTCTGGATTCTTCAACACCTCTAGTTTTGTCTTTCTTAACTTATCTCACTGAATCATACTTGTTGAATAATATCTTCTAATCCTAACCTCTCCGATTACTTCTAATACCTTTACTACCTCTACTACTATTGGATTTCAATTGACAGTTACATCTCTGTGCTAATGTGGCATGGTAACATGAACTGATGTACTTACGTACGAAGTTCTACGTTGCATCTGACTGACTGACTGACTGACTACGTTGTCTCTAACTGACTAACTGACCATCGATTTTAAATCAATGTTTTCCAGCCTCCTGTATATGAATTCTCTATACTCAGTCAGTCAGTCAGTCAGTCAATTACATTAGCACAGAGATGCAGTTGTCACTTCGAATCCCATAGTTGTGGAGATAGTAGAAGTATCAACGGGAATGCAGAAGATTAGCGTTCGTTGATATGATTCATGAAGTATGTACCAGTGAAATAAACTTAGAAAGAGAAAAAATATTCTCCATATTCACCGTATGATAGGGCGAACTTCACTAAGCGGTTAAAATCTCCATAGTTTTCAAAAAAACATTTAAAATTTGAAATTTTATTAATTCTCGTTTGTTTATTTTGTTTCTTGTGTGCGTACATTTTTCTAGCGTGAACGTGAAAACAACTTTTTAACTGCTTTAAAAAATAACATTGAAACTGGAATGAGAGTAAGTTTTTTTAGTAGAATGTGCATTAGTGTGTTTTCTTTTTTCCTGTTCTTTTTTTCATATACTTGTCATTTATGAACTTGGAGCTAGCTGTCCTTCCCGCTAACATGACAAAAGGTGTTTGTTATTAGTCTCCATATTCCATATACTTACTATTGGGTTTGTCACTAAGTATGCTTGAGGCTATTACGAGTTTACCTTAGTCGATAAACGCGAACGACACAATTACCAGCGTCCAGGTAGGCTACCTTGAATCCCAAAGTAAGGTAAGAAGACTTTGTAAGCGTAGAAAGTATATTCTAAAAACACCCAGCAATCACACAGTACAATCAAGCATACAACTCTTGTTTATTTATACATCATAGAAACGTCCTTGAGACAGTTAAGTAAAAAAGCACACTAAAATACATAGCAGCCAATCACAGCCATGGATTTTCCTGGCGGGAAATGAAATCTCAAGGCCAACTGATTAGCCCATGCTGGCAAACGTAGAATCCAAAATAAGGCATTTAACAAGCGAGTTTTGGAGATCTAACATCCCCAACACTTACTCATATTACCGGTAACAAGATGAATTAAACACAGTGTATAATATAAGAAAAGTAAAATGATAATCGAAGCAATGATGATTTTAGAAAAAAGTCTAAACATGTTGAAAGTAGTTTGTCAAAGCGAAATAATGTGTTTGTTATATATGAAGAAATCCCAATGTGGTGGCTTATGAGTAGTGTCACTCAAAAATTACTGCTGAACAGAAGAGTATCGGTTCGGAAAGTATGACGAGATCAGGGTGTTTCGAAGATTAGAAAATAACTATTTGTCTGATTATTTGCAAATAGAAGCGTAAAGATAAGTTGTGTACACAGTTTGCTATTAAACGGTAACTTCTTTCAATAAGTCATTTACTTTATCTGGGTTTTTATGTCTTTGTTCAATCTACTGGAACTCGAGATTCAGTAGAATGTAATATGTCAGCACAAATGAGCTGCTATGACCTATTCTAAACTTTCTCATTCCAATTCTTCAACCACTAATAGTAATTGCTGTGTGTCTACGTCTACTAACTTGTGTCACTTCTAGGGTTGGCAAGATATCCGTTTGATAACTAAAGGAATGCAAAATGTTGCTTCAGGATTGGCTTGTGTTGGCATCTGAACTAGTGATAAGAAGTGAAACAGTTGAGCGTATTGACCGCCTCACTTATCTCTGGAGTTTCATCAGTGTTGACGGTCTAATGTGTGACGAAATCCCAGTACGGATAAAGAAAAATCGATTAGTTTTCGCTAACTTGAGTCACTGATGGCGTTGGCGAGATGTCGGTCTGCTAACCAAAGAATAAGTCAACTGTTCATCATTTCGCGCTGTCCTACTATATGAGTGTGAAACATGGTCATTAAGAGTTGAGGATATTCGTTGGTTACAAGTATTCGGTCTCAGGTGTCTGCGAATCATAGCTCAAATATCCTGGGACCACCGAGTAAGCGATTCTGGTGTTTGGGACAAGGTACTAGGTCAGATCATCAGTTGAGGTGGTTGGTACGTATGTTACGCATGTCTGACTGCCTCGACGAGCTATGTTTTGTGGTGTAGGAGTAGGGTGGAAAAAGCTAGGGGCCGCCAAACCAAAACATGGCAGAAATCCATGAAGTCATTGACCACTGGACTGAGCCATGTTGTTGGGTGTAGACAATCTGGTTAGGGTCCTCGAGAAAATAGTAACCGATGGTTAGCGACTTTGAATGACATGGCTCAAAATCGTTTGCAATGGTCCAGATGCATCCACCCCTTGTCCTCTTAAATTCTCATCTTCTTAATTCCATATGATCCTTTTTTCTTTTTAAAGTTACTTCATTGCATTATACCTCTCGAATCATACCTTCCATCCCATCCATATATATATATATATATATATATATATATATATATATATATATATATATATATATATATATCGTTAAACCCCAAAAATATGTTATCACTTAAATAACTGAAGATACTTCATGCCGGATAAATTAGCGTAAAACATTTATACTACTTGTAAGTAGTTAAGTTTTAAAATTAAATTTTTATTTGACATTTTTTTAAAAACAACAACTACAACAAACAATCAATAAATTAGATTATACAAACTGAAGATAAAGGTCGTGGCATAATCGCTACACGAACATTTAATGAAGGTGAATTTGTTGTGGAATATGCTGGAGATTTAATCACAGAGAAATTAGCAAAACAACGTGAAGCTGTATATAAACAAAATCCAGCAATCGGTTCGTATATGTTCTTTTTTGCACATGCGTAAGTTAGTGTATTGTATTGTATTGTGTTTTAATTTAATTTAATTGATTGAAAGCTTAAATTTGTAATTTATTGTTTTTCGAAATTCTAAATGAGATTCACGTTGAATGGTCTAGTCGGGATTTTCTCTAACTGCGAGGTCTCATATGGTCGAGAAATGCAAATTTCGGAACCGCGAAGAAATCATTACCGGACATGTGACAAAGGGTAATAGGAGTGTTTGGGCTGACTTGCTTCAACCCGGGCTGCATCTTCTACTATCCTACGCCATATATCTGTATACTATACGCTATACTGTTATATAGAGATGAAGGTTTTCTATAAGACCAGAAGTTCGCTATGAATATTGTGGATGGCTTGGCATTGCTTTGGCAAGTATTGATAACAGTTCATATACAAAATTGGTTAACAGGGCGACCGATTTCATTGATACTGGTGGTTTTTTGCGACATTCCCGAGGGCCATTGAGGTGCTGTTTTGCATATCACCATTGTCAATAATAATGAGTTTGATAGTCATGTAAGCGGGATGATTCGAAATGGCCTGTTCATGCGGTGCATATTGATTGACGCGATCATGGAGCGGAAATAATCAATATATATGTACGACTGTATTTAAATTGTTTGAATAATCCACCAGGGTATCTGGTACCTATGTGGTGGTTGCACCACGGAATTGAGCCGAACTGTTTACGTTGAAATGTAAACACGTGAGCAGTCTCCTTGGTTCTCCTGTAAACCATTGTAAAATTTCCCTTGACAATAGAGGGTTAGTTAATATACAAAAATGTATATATGATCCACCAAAGACAACCAGTGATGTTCGCGTAATATATTGTGGATTGATTAAAGACAATAGTGCCGTTGGACATCGCCAACTCAATGGTATGGAGGCTACGTGTTCTTGTGTGAGACCGAAGGTCCTCGGTTCGATTCCTGCCCGCGGGGTTGTACACATGCATTCCTGGTCAGTCATGTACTAGAATGAAAACGCCATCCGGTGCTTCTAGCTTTTTAATGTGACCTTATATTGATTGATTCGTGATTTCAGAATAAATTCGAAAATATTCACGATCCTCCAATGAATATATGAATTCCCGAAAGCTAAGCACTTGTAACTCTTAATGCAACCCCGCTACATGTGTATGATTTAAAAATTGAACATGATAATTACTGAAGAGAGATACAACGCAGAACTTCGTACGTAAGTAAATCAGTTCAAGTTGCCATACCACATCGGCACAGAGACGCAACTGTCACTTCAAATCCAAGAGTGATAGCGATAGTAGAAGTATTAGCAGTGATGGAGAAGATTAGGTAGTGAAGATATGATTCGAGAAGTATAATTAAGTGAGATAAATTTAGAAGGACAAAGATAGAGATGATGAGGAATTCAGAAGGTTAGAATTAGGGAGAATACAAAGGTAGGATGCACCTGCGCCATTGCAAACGGTTTTGAGTCATTTCATTCAAGGTCTCTAACCATTGGTGACTATCGTCTCGCGGACCCCAACCAGGTAGCCTACATCTACCAACATGACTCAGGCCACTTGTCAATGACTTCATGCATTTCTGCCATGTTTTGGTTTGGCCGCCCCTAACTTTCTTCCAACCTACTCCTACACTACAAAACATAGCTCGTCGAGGCAGTCGGTGGTTAGGCATACGTCACACATGTCCCAACCAGTTCAACTGGTTGAGTTTCAATACTTCATCAAATCATCTGCCATTCTTACCCAACACCCGTTTCCTAATAACAGCGTTGCTCACTCGGGTGTCCCACGATATACGAGCAATGCTTCGGAGACATCGACGATCGAAGACTAGTAACCTACGAACATCTTCTACTCTTAAAGGCCATACTTCACAGCCATATAGGAGGATGGAGCGAACTGCTGCGCAGTACACCCGTCCTTTGGTTAGCGAACGGATATCTCGTCTACGCCATAAGTGACGGAGGTTGGCATAAGCCAATCGAGCCTTCTGTATCCGAGCTGAGATTTCGTCAGTCACCAGGCTATCAGCACTGATGAGACTCCCCAGATAAGTGAAGCGGTCTACACGCTTGACTACTTCACTCCCAATCACTAGTTCAGGTGCTGATGCAACCAAATCTTGAAGCAACATTTTGCATTTGGACGGGGCGGGGGAACCGCATCCCGAACATGCTTGCATTGAAGAATAAGAAAATGATTTATTTATTTAATCCATAGCTTTATTGTATTGTTTCTTTTCTTCATTTAAAAGGGGTCAACGTTTTTGTGTCGATGCAACTGAAGAAACACCAAGACTTGGTCGATTGATTAATCATAGTAGATTAAAACCAAATTGTATTGTTAAAGTCATTCCAATTGATGGTATTCCTCGACTTGCATTATTTGCACGTAAATCTATTTCTCCTGGTAAGCATTTAGTTATTGTATGAATATAAGCTTGATGTTGTTAATAATAATAATAATAATAATAGTTATCCTCATATTATATGCATAAACAAAATTTGCGTTGTTTATTTAAAATCTGCACATGAATTAATCACTGCGTTGGGTAATTAATGTCACATTTGATGCTGGAAAATATTTTGATTATTATTATTATCATTATTATTCATAACTAACCTAGGGGCGGCCAGATCAAATTATGGAAGAAATCCATGAAAGTCACTGACAAGTGGACTAAGTCATGTTTGTAGCTGTAGACTACCTGGTTGGGGTCCGCGAGATGATTAGACACCTTGAATGACATGACTCAAAACCGTTTGCAATGGCGCAGGTGCATCTACTCTTTGTGTTCTCTCAAATCCTAACCTTTGGAGTTCCTCGTCGCCGCTATATTTTTTCTTTTTAAGTTTATTTCACTAGATTCTACTTGTTGAATAATAAAGTCGAACCGTAATCTCTCCGATTATTGCTAATACTTCTACTACATCTACTACTATTGCATCTCTTTGCTAATGTGGTATGGCAACTTGAACTGATGTACTTACGTACGAAGTTGCATGTGGACTGACTGACTATCCTCATTCTTCCGTAGCTGGAATCTGGTTGGTTCTCTACCACAGTAGGCTATTGTTGACGATGACTAGCCAACGGATCCTCAGTATCTTCTTGTAGACAATGATTAATAAACACATGTATGTTTTAGACTTAAATGTTGATTAATTGATTGTCTCACTGACTGACAAGTTGTTTCGTGTACTAAATATTTTTCAATTGTCGGAATACTACACTTGCTTTTTGCCCTATCTTTGTAGTTAGCTACATATCATATGCTTTCTATTTTTACCTTGTTAAACATTGTCATTTGTTTTAATTTTTTTTTGTGTAGGTGAAGAATTACTCTATGATTATGGTGATCGTGATAAAGAAAGTTTACAAATTCATCCATGGTTAAAAACATGAATAGAATTCATTGCATCGTTCTGTTTTATATTATTATATATATGTTGGCGTTTTAAGACGAATGACAACAGTGCTAACTGTTAGAAAGTTACTAGAAAGTATTTAGAAATTTTTCAAAATTGTTTGTACCATTGACTTCCTTCTTCTTCTTTCTCGCTTTCACTGTCTCTCTCTTTTTCCAGTTCCTGTTTCCTTTACTGTTTTATAGTTGATGGGGGTTAGCTTTTCCTAAGGAACTATAATATATCTGTATGTTTTATTCATGTTCGTTTGCGACAGAATGTTCTTTTCCAGTGTAGTCTAACGAATTTTAGTGTCTTACTCTTTATTCTAGTTCTTGATCTGTGTTCTTTGACTTCTTCGATCTTCTCCATCAAGAAATAGAGGCAGACTGGGTAGATTGATGATGTCGTTATTACCTTGTCTATTCTTTTGTACAAGTCTATATAGATCAATATACATGTACTATGTGTGTCTGTGTGTGAGTGAGAGTGTGTTTGTCTGGCTACTATTTCACTTTCATCATCTTCTCTTTGTACAACTTGTTTCTTAGATTTTATTTCTCTGTGTATATGTGATTTGTGCGCATTTATGTACTTGTCTACTTATTTCATTATTATTAGTAGTATTATTATAATTGATGTCAATTTGGTGGTAGTTATTAGTAATATTATATTGAAAATAATTACATATATACATGAATGTAATGATTTGTTTTTTGTACATTTTACTGTCTTTTATGTTCGTAACTGCAGAACGAGAAAATTTTTTTAAAAACAAACTTATAAGTTGACTACATATCTGTTGGAAAAAAATTTTTTTTGTGGGCTGTGTTAGATTCGAAATAGGACTTACCACTTTACTGACTCGCCAACTGACTTCGTTTCTATATGAATGAACAGTCGAGTATGCTATTGAAATCAGTCTTCTTTTCAGTTTCGGTATAATTATACTTAGGCGAACCTGGTTTGTGCGACAGCGATGTAATAAGAAGCCAAATACGGATTCGGTTGGATGAATTTATTTCAGGCAATCGTTCGTACAGACAAACATGAGCATGAAAAACATGTGAGCAAAGTGGAGAAAGGAGAGCGAGTCAACTCAATCAAATGAGGCATGATTAAGTATGTTTGGTGAAAAGACGTAATTGATCTCAAAAATGTGATGTATTTGCGCTATATATTTCGAACAATCTAGTCACACATTTTTACTTGTCAAGGCATTTAATATGAAGATGAATAAAAGGTCAATTAAGTAAAAGTTCAAATAGATATAAGGTGATAATTGTAAATAAAGAAGAGAGAAAATTAACGTAATATGAAACGAATAAGAAAGGGTAGGAAAATTGTCACATTACCTTAGACTCAAAGATTACCAAGGTAAATTCATGGTTATGACAAATTGTTTCTGCACACGTAAGGGGGGTTTTAATTTTCCAATAACCAAGGCGTCCGCAAATACATCACATTTTTGAGATCATTTACGTCTTCTCACTGTTATATCCAAATTTATAGAAGGGACTAATTGTTTTAAGTATGTATAGTTGGACAAAATAAGCCAGTCATGCTGTGGTGCGTGCTACTTATAAGTAGTATATGACGCGAGTGTAAACGTAATGTCTGGCAGCAGAAGATTGGGGAAGATCAAGGAAGGAAGGGTGGGAACACAATGGAATTTGTATGAAACGCATGAACAGTGAAATGTCAGACAATGGATTGATGATCGATTGAAGATTTGCAAATTAACCGTTTACGATACGGTTTTCCTATTTTACTGAGTAACTCTGTAATTTTCGTTAAATACAATTTGGTTGCCCTCACCTGTGTTCGCCTTCACAACAATGCAATAAGCGAAGTAAGCGTGCGTACACACCCGAATAAAATTAATGAAAGATATGAGCGAATAATGAAAAGTCGAAAGATGAGTGAATAATAATTCGGGAAGAATGGATGAATTAATTTGTCCAATGGTTGGGACAAGCCCTATGGCCTCGACGTAAAAGTACTCTCATACACTACACTTTCTACTGTCTATTAAGTTTGTGTTTATTTACTTCTAGTTAGAAAAAAAATCTCGAACTTAGTTCCATTTAGTTCAAAGTATGAATATGATCTTGAGGATTTGATTTGCATTCAAAGAAAGTGGTATTTTTCTCTGTAAATGCAACTACATCACCTGTCGGCAATTTCATTATAGTCCAACAGTATAGTATTGTTCGATGGGGAATAATGAAATAGAGTTGTTGTGCAAGAAAATTCAGGTGAAGACAACATCTATATTTAAGTGAATATTACAGAGTTGTTAAGCATGTGTACAAAACCTTCTCGTGAAATCATCATTTGCAAACTAATCCTCATTTGTTTCAGATTTCAGTGTTCTTTCATTTAGACTGTTCAGACTTCAGTTTACTTTACGTTACCTACAAATTGCCTTCTATTCTCATTCTTTCCTTCTCGATCTTTTGCTGTCAGACGTTTTATTTCCGTTTGATATTATATACTACTTATGTGAACATAAGTAGCGTACACCACAGAGTTATGACTTGTTATTGATATTTGAATATAAATCCCTATCAGCCACACTCATTAGGAATAAATAAAAACGAGAAATGCCTATTACTTGGATAGTTATTTCATTGATGAGTTAGATATGGTCACATGAAACCTGGCATTTACATGCAACTGTTCAAGTTGTAAACATTACATCAGCATGAACTTATCGAGTCAAATACCAAAGATGTAGATGTGGTAGTGTAATATTTTAGCCATAGACAGTAGGATTTATGAATGATTTCTGCAAATATGAAATAATTTTCTAACTTAGTATGTCATGCTTCCGATTGTGAAGCATATCAACACACTGTGAACACAGATTTCAACCTGGTGAACATACTAAAATGGCTCAGATTAATAGAGAATGACATCTTGGTTTGTTCAGCCCTAGATTTATGCTAATCTAAACTTTCTCCATTTATATCCAACTCTGTTATTGAAATACTTTTAGAAACGATACTTTCATCATCTGAAATTTCAGGGGTTGACTTTCTGCCAAGAGATCGGCTTGTTGACTCCCAGTATGCTAACGACATAGTTCTATTTGGTGAAGACGCAGAAACAATCCGGTCTTCTAACTACCCTAAAGAACAATGAAAGCATGTTCGGGATGCGGTTCTCCACCTCGAAACGCAAAATGTTGCTTCAAGATTGGCTTGCGTTGGCACCTGAGCCAGTGATAGGGAGTGAAGTAGTTGAGCTTGTCGACCGCTTCACTTATCTCGGGAGTCTCATCAGTGCTGATGGCCTGGTGTGTAACGAAATCTCGGAACCGATACAAAAGACCCGACTGGCTTTTGGAAGCAAGCTAGGAGCAGCCAAATCAAAAGGTGGCATAAGTATGTGAGGACAGTGACAACTGGACTAAGCTGTGTTAATAGGTATAGATTACCTGGTTGAGGTCCGCGAGGCAATCGTAACTGATGGCTAGAGACCTTGAATGACATGGTTCAAAATCATTTGCAATAACGCAGATGCAGCCATTCTTTGTCTTTTTTCAATTTCTGATGTTTTGAATTCCTCATGGCCTTTTTTCTGTCTCTAAGTTGATTCCACTGGGATATACTTCTCGAATCATGCCTTCGAACACTAATCTTCTCTATCATTGCTAATACTTTGACTACATCTACTTCTATGGTATTTGAATTGACTATTCCATCTCTGTGAGTGAATGTGGTTTGTCTACTTGAACTGATGTTCGTACGTATTAGGTTCAACTGACTGATTACAAAAACCATGAAGTAAAATAGAATTATTCTTTGAATAATATACTCATTCTCTATTAGTCAACAAGTGCTTCTTCTTTAATACAAATCATCTAAGCTGTTGAAAGGCAAGTGTACTCTGTGAACTCATGTTTATATGTATACTGGCCTTTTTGTTGCTGTTCTTATTTCAGTCGATTGATATATAAACAGAAAAAAGCAGAAAATTATTCAGTGTTACTGACATACTTATCTTCGGATACGTAATCATCCACTGTCAGTCAGAAGCAACCGAATGTGATAGTCACTCGATGACATTCAGAAACGTCATCCAATTCATCAAAAAATGAGTTCATTTTCCAAGAGGGCTGAATGTATATAAAGAAATGATCATTTATGTATAATATTCAGTGGACGAATAGACTTACATTTCTTCTACTCTCGCTCAAGTAAGGAGTTTAGGCGGTCTTAGCAAGTAACACGTTCATATCTCGGACACTGCACATCATAACGTCAGAAATTCTAAAAAATCTATATATATGTTGAGAAATTCGAACACTTCAATTCTAACTAAAATTTTGCTGGTGATATTCTTAGGAAGAACTATGGAAACTCCACAACCAAACTCTCCAGCTCAGTCAACGAAACTACAACACAAATCTGTAAAAGTTCATGCGAAACTTTATGAATAGTAACTAGTTCCACTATTAACACAAATATATCTGATTTGGTTTGACTGTTCGCACAAATATCTGAAATCTTGTACAAAAAAAGATTCCAACTTTTGATGTATCTTTATTAAGAAATGTGTTAAGTCGAAACGGTGTATGCGACTTGAATCAAAATAAAATGTTACGCGATCGTCATCAATTGAAGTAACAATAGTAATCAGAAATGATCCGACGGTAAGGCGTTCGCCTATAATGCCAAATGTCCCGGGTTCGAATCCTGTGATGAGCAGGAGTCGTGGATGCGCACTGCTGATCAGTCCCATACCAGGACGAAACGGCCCTCCAGTGCTTCCAGGTTTCTAATGGTGGTCTAATAATGATTGATTAATGATTTCAAATGTGTAAAAACGCAAACCTCCAAAACTGTGCCCCAGAAATGATTACATTAGCCACCAACCAACTAGAACCGATCAAATTTTTTTAATAAATATTCATTAATATTTGTTTCGAGTGATTCTATTGTTCATTTTTTTAAGAAAAATCTATGTGATTTTTAATTTTTAATTAGAAAAAACGATCAAAAATAGAAACCACGCAATTTTTTTGCATAATAATATATGTTACTTAAAAGTAATAATAGTAACAAATATATATAGTCCAAATTATTTAGGTTTCATTTGAATAATTGAAAATTTACTGTTTTTGACCTTCATTCTGAGCAAGTAATCGATACAAATGTTCATCACTTAAACATCCATGAATAAATTCTTCTTTTGTCAATACACTATCTGAATTAAGATCCATTTTTGTGAAAATTGTTTTTGTACGTTCTGCTGGTGTTTTACTATTCTCTTCGTCAATATCACCAACCATTAAATGGATAGCCTAGAAAAAACAATTTTCAACCAACAAAAAATGAGAATGTTGAAGAATTAAAATTAACAAATTAGAAATGAATAGTTTTTGAATTGTGACGTTATCTATTGATGAGACTATTCACGTAAGTCGTCGAAGATTACTGCAATCTCATGCTTGGATGCGATAAGAGGATGGGCGGTAAAGTTAACAGCCACACTGATGGGTGAAGTTCAGCAAACTACTCATGACAAGTTGAATACCACCTCATGATTAAACTGTGTATCAGATACAACTATGAGTTAGTTATTCTAAGTGAGTAAATGAACTTGCCAAGTTCATAGTCCATATTTCTATGTTTAAGTCTATTCAGATATCGCCATATACACAAGGTTACATTAGTTTACCTTTTACGAAGACTTTTACTCTTTCCGTTCGCTTAGTCTAGTTAAGCGTTTAGAGCATGCTAATTTACTGAAGCAGTTCAAAATGGTTACAGTATAATCGAATTCGAAAGTGTTTGATTCAAGTTTCCAAATTAATATCATTCGGTCCATATGGATGAGGATTTCGAATACTTCGTTCAGAAGAAGAACAATAAGAGTTTCACAACCAAAACAAAATCCAGTTCAGAGAAACGAAGCACCATCAAAATCATCCACCTAAGCTAAAGATTCCTTCGACCATGACTGAAATAATACTGACTGTATTTAAAACTCTAGTTTATCGTTTTTATAATTAGATATGTTATGTTCGTCACTTGGTACGCTTGAAGCTATTACGAGTTCACCTTAGTCGATAAATGTGAACGAGACCATGAACCAGCGTTCAGATAGGCTACCTTGAATCCCAAGCTTTGTAAGCGTAGAAAGTATATTCTACAAACACCCAGCAATCACACAGTACAGTCAAAATGTATCATTAGTATTTAGGTGAAATTTTTAATTAGTTCAAACATATCCATCCATTAGATAAAATGTTAAAAAACATTTATAGTTTACCCTGCAAATATTTCAAGTACACTTAGAGCTTGACCCAGACTTTGGACAAACTCTTTGTTAATCTATCCTCATCGAGTCATTACTATTATTTATATACAGTCTTTGTGACCTTATTAATTATGGGGCCTAGTAATTTTGAATGTGTTTTTGTTTGAACCAGTGTGTGTGTGTGTGCGCGCGCTCATTGTTTACTTTGATTATCACATGTCTAGTTTATGTTTTGTCTAATTATTAATAATAAAACTTAGTCATAACACGTAGTTGATACACTAGGCTTGTCTGTTTTGTTTTTTCGCTTCATTTTTCAAATTCTCCTTAGTGTTTGTCAGTAAAAGTGAAAGTATGGAAAAAAGGATCATCCACAAATTAGCCCGAATCAGGCTTCTTTTAACCGCCATCATGTAAATGGGATTTTGCCTAACTGAGAGATTTACTACATTCAGATAATTTGATTTGTTTTCTTTCAAACACAGTACGATCTAGGATCATTGAACACAGTAAACAGAGATTTATAATACCTGAATGGGTAGAATGTAGAAAAGTTTTGACGTTTTGTGATTTACTGTCAGCTACTTTTTTCAGAGTAGAATAAATGATATCTAAGCTAGACAAAATGACTTAATAACCGAGCAGAACTGGAAAGTTAATGAATCCAATCAGAAATGGTTGTATTTGTTTTAAAAATACTACGAAACTGATATTAAAAACATCAGGAAGGTAATATGAACTAACTCTGTCTGTAGCCCTTCCAGGGTTACTACCTGTCCCAAGCTCGGATAAAAGAGGTGGGTTGGACATGGGGTTTGCGATCCTATCCCGTAGAAATCCAAGTCGCTAAAAAAAACGCTAACCAAGAGAAATAATTTCATGATCGGCGGCCTATGCTCCATTAGGGGTAACAGGCATAAGTAAGTAATCCAGACTACAAAAAGACGGTGAATAAATAAAGTGTTTTATATGGTGCTGAATCCTTCTACTCTCAACAGGGAAGAAATCCTAAATATCTGTCCAACTTGAATTATTTGAACTAGACATCCGATTCATAATTGTATTTTTTGCACATTTAAGTCATCAATAAATCATTGTTAGACCACTATTAGAAACCTGGAAGCTCTGGACGGCCGTTTCGTCCTGTTATGGGACTCATCAGCAGTGCGCATCCACAACAATGATTGACTGATGATTACAATTTGCAACAAACACTAATCTCCATAACTCTAATTGAAAAATCGTAAAATGTGCTCACTATTGACTAGCTTCTTGAGGAAATTCTCGGAGTTTCAGTTGAGAAGACGTGACTGGTGGAGTTCACCCTGTTCGGGTGCAGGCAGTGACTATCAAAGACAAATGGGTGAGGTCGCGCAAAATCTCTAGATCAGTCAGAGTTAGACATACACACAGTGTTGTATCACACAGAAACAACTTCACCAAAGTAACATGGAAATAACTTATCGAAAGCAAGTTTGATTTTGATCAAAGTAAATGTGGTTGTCTGTTTATTTCTCATGAAAAACCGGGTCAGTTTTTATTTTGAGATGTATATAACAGTCCGTTATGGGAATTATTGAAACTCTGTTATGAATACAACACAATTCGAGAACAAGTGAGCTACAGATTATGTGTATTATACTGATATAAATATAATGAGCTAACTGTTTGTCGAATTCAATCTAATTTACTATTCTGAAGTGTTTTTACACATTTGAAATAATCAATCAATCATTGTTAGACAACCATTAGACACCTGGAAACACTGGATCGCAGTTTCGTCCTGCTATGAGACTCATCAGCAGTGCGCATCCACGGCTCCTGCACCTCGCAGGATTCGAACCCGGGACCTTCGGTATTGTGCGCGAACGCCTAATCTTTGGAACACTGGTTTTGTCTGAATCCTTATTGAACAACATCTCAGAATTTTTTGAACATCAATTCTACTTTAGTCGGATTTTCATCAACTGTCTCTTCGGCAATATACCCGCCTAATCCTAATGTTATGGCTGGGGATGTTGAGAAACTGATCAATTTCTCAAAGTGATCACATGTATTCACGTCTTAAGAAGTAATTTTCATTACCTTCTCACAGCGGTGTTGTTTATGAAATCGCGAAAATATAAAACGAACACCCAACCGGTTCGGTAAGTACGATGGATTCACCTGGGGTTGTTAAAAACATAAATTCTAAATCAACGGTGCACATAAGCCCTCGAATCCTAAGAAAAATAAATGGAGATCATCAGCTACCATGAGACTACCTCTTTTGACATTTCTTCTCTACATTCTGGATAAAACGTTTGGGTCAATGTCTCAGCGACTAGTCCCCTAAGAAAGAAAACCTCCTACATTGGTTTACGAACCCTAAGTCAATCCCAACCAGCTTACACACAAGTTTAATGATTTGTATAACTCGTAAATAATTTAGATGCCGCATTTTTTTACCAATAACAGTTAGCTTGTCAGCCTTCAGTTATGAATTATTGAAAAATGAAAAAAAATCATCCATCTTGATTTCATTGACGTTTGTTTATTGAATATTGAACAGATTAACAAAATAATCGTAATCACGAGAAACGTCATTGGAAATAAATATTCACTTTTGGTTTCTACGCATTAGAAACTATAATTATTTTTGTTTCAAAAAGATAAAAAATATCAATTACGTAATAATTAGATTTGTATTAAATAAGTAAAATATGTCAACATGGATTTTGTTTTCCAACAGATATGGTGTCATAGTTACAAACATAAATATTAATGATGATTTCAAATGTGTAAAAACGCAAACCTCCAAAACTGTGCCCCAAAATATCGTAACAGTGCTCACTAGTGACTAGCTTCGTGAGGAAATTTTCGTAGTTCTAGTTGAGAAGACGTGACTAATGAAGTTCAACCCTGTCGGATGTAGGCAGTAACTACCAAAGACAAATGGGTTAGGTCGCGCAAAATCCCTAGATCAATCAGAGTTAGACATTAACACAGTTGGATGTCGGCCCAGTGGTCCGATGGTAAGGCGTTCGCCTACAATGCCAAAGGTCCCGGGTTCGAATTCTGTGGGGTGCAGGGGTCGTGGTTGCGCACTGCAAATGAATCCCTTACCAGGATGAAACGGGCGTCCAGTGCTTCCAGGTTTCTAATGGTGGTCTAACAATGATTGAATGATGATTTCAGATGCATAAATAATAATGAATTTTCCCGTGAATGCCCTGTTATGCAAAAGAGTGGGAAGGTCCACTGTACCTTATACGGCCACATATGTATAGCCACTACTAGGGAAGTCCTATCTATTAGCTTCCCGTGACAGTACTGCTGTAATCGGATTTCGGAGGACGAAAACCAAATATCTGACCAGTTAGTAGGTATGGAAGGTCTTTATAGGAAAGCTGGGAAACTTAGATTGTATGTAAACCAATGGTGCAGATGAGCTCCAGGATGCTGATGGAAACAGAAACGACATATGAAGCTGTTATCGGTCATCGTTGAACATGAGACTGCATTTAAGTCGAAGGCTCGTGAAGTGGCTCCCTAAGAAGACTACCTGTTCTAGCTTGAAAAGCTGGACAGTATTCTAACTAGCTTACTCATAAGCTAAGTGATTTATGTGGTATATATATATTTAACTATTTCCTTTATACCAATAGTTATATATTTGAAATAAAAAATGTTATTCATGTTTTTGTTAGGATATTCATCAAATATCGTTGGTCAATAGTTAAGGTCATCCTAAACAATCAAGTTCACATACTTTTAAATCTTCTTTCCTATTGGTTAGTATTCACAGTTGACCTCACTGTATAAATATGCATTGTCTGTAAAGTTTCATGCTTCTATTCTCCTTCTGTACAAGAGCTCATATTATCTGGGTGCTTTTAGTATACACATTCTATACCATATCAAGACTTTTTGATACCGTTAGTAGTGGCTTGGGACGCTCGTATTAGAGTAGCCTATCATGTTACGGGATCATTTGTTTTAGGTCTCGTTTAGCGACTAAAGTGAACTCGTTATCAACTAGTTTCAAGCATATCATTTGACGAGCATAACATTTGTCAATATTGAACATTGATTGAATTATACATTAGTACAAATAAACAAAAAAAATTGAAATTAATTTACTTTAATAATTTGTGTCATTTCATATTCTTCAATTGTTCCATTTCTATCAATATCATATAATTGAAAAGCTAATTCAAGTTTTTCTTCTGGACTGCCCGATTGTGTAATACTGATGGCCTATATTTTGAATAGAAAAAAATCGATGAGTAAATTAATAGGTGTGTGGTGGAATGGTTCTACGAAGAGAACGCAAGTAGTGAAATGGAAATATTTATTAATGTATTACAATTGAAACAATAACTGTTTTATTGTAATCCTTTTGTTTAAATGTATTAAAAACACTTATTTACTTACTTAGTTACGCCTGTTACCCTCAATGGAGAATAGGCCGCCCACCAGTTTTCTCCAACCAACTCTATACTGGGCTTTCCTTTCCAGTTCTTTACAATTTTTTTTTCATTATTCTGATATCTGTGTCCATTTCTCGGCGTAATATGTTCCTTGGCGTTCCTATTTTCCTTTTGCCTTGAGGGCTCCATGTGAGGGCTTGTCTTGTGACGCAGTCTGGTGCTTTTCGTAATGTGTGTCCTATCCATTTCCACCGCTTCTTCCTGATTTCCTCCTCCACTGGAATCAGGTTTGTTTTCTCCTACAGTACATTGTTGCTGATCGTGTCCGGCCAACGAATCCGAAGTACTATGCGTAGACAACTGTTCATAAATAGTTGTATCTTCTGGATGATGGTTTTTGTAGTTCTCCAAGTTTCCGCTCCATACAGTAGAACTGTCTTGAGATTTGTATTGAAAATCCTGATTTTGGTTTTGGTTGAAAGTTGTTTGGAGTTCCAGATATTTTTCATTTTTGGAAAAACACTTAGTTACTCGCAACTTTCTGTTCTAGTTGCTGCCATCATTCGCTACATGCTGCTCTTTATGTCGTCCACTTTATTGATATCGATTCGGTGTTCTTCTGACACCATGAAATCATCAGCAAATATATCCTTTATCCTGGATTTACTTATTACTTATAATGACGGGCTAATAATTAGTATTTAGTGGTGATCAAGTCAAGATTGACTATGATCACCACTAAAGATGTATATCAATCTTTCAAGGAACTCATGAATCGATCATTGTTCGATCACCAGTAGACATTAACATCGTTGGATACAACAGGCAGTTCACAGGTTTAGAGGTTAAGCATTCGCACGTGAGAGTGAAAGTCCTGAGTTTGATTCCCCTATGGGCAGGAGTCATAGATACGCACTGGTGATGAGTTCCATATACTAAGACGAAACGGCCATGCAGTGCTTTTAAGTTTCTAATGGTGGTCTAAAAATGATCGATTCATTATTTCTAAGTGTTGGGGACATTAGATCCCCAGAACTCGCTTGATAAATGCCTTAATTTTCGATTTCACGTTTGCCAGCATGGGCTGATCAGTTAACCTTGAGATTTCGTTTCCCACCAGTAAAATCCATGGCTGTGATTGGCTGCTGTGTATTTTAGTATGCTATTTTTGTGACTGTCCCAAAAACGTTCACATGATGGATAAATAAACGAGATTTGTGTGCTTGAATGCATTGTGCTTGCTGGGTGTTTGTAGAATATTCTTTCTACGCTACATCAAGACTTTTCATTAGTCGACTAGTCAGAGTCGCCAACCTGGAGGCAGGTTCATTGTCTCTTTCTCATTTATCGACTTAGGTGAACCCATACTAGTTTCGACCATATTTGGTGACGAACCTAAGACTATACAACTTAACATTCACTATAACTCTTTACTGAAAGGATATATATCTCTGTATTTATTTCTAAACTGATCAATATTAATGAGGTGTAAACATGAAAAGAAACTGTGATTGACCAGTGAGTGTGGGCAAACAAGCACTTCTTAGCCTACTATCTGCTAGAAATGAGTGCTTTCATTTCCTATTATTGATTTCTACTTCGGACTCACTGAGAGTGGTTGATTTGGATTGATTTGTTGGTAACCCTCACACACATATACACACTTTGAATGAAGCGAACAAGATTAAAATAATGGTCCTATCACTGAGACTACAATTTATGGATAACCTTTAAGGACAGTAAAGTGACCTTGAGAAAACTCGACTACTTACTAGGGTCCTGAATCGGTTAAATTATTAGTGTGAGGAATTACAAATGAGTTTTAAGTGCGAAATTTGAATAAGAAATTTTATATTTACAGTTTTCATCACGTATTGACATTGGCCATGAAACTAAAATTCCATTAAACTGTATTTATGGATACATTTCGTGCCCAAATCCAAAACTGTCTATCATTAAACTAATTAATTCGTCCATAAATTATAATCTCAGTTTCTTTTTATTTATTGCAAACTAAATATTTATCTTACTCAAGGTATTTTTTTAACGTAACAATGCTTTACTACTAACTACAAAACAAAGTAGTGTGTAATGACAAAAGTTGCAATAACTTTTCAACTATGCTTTTACACATCTATTTAAAGGAAAATACAGTGTTACTACCGTTAAAAGTGTCAGTCAGAAACTTATGTAATTATACTACATTGATTTTTCTGAGATTCGAAAGAAGGATACCTCATCAAAATGCCAAAGAAAGGCGATCTCAACAAGTGTGAGAACTACAGAGGCATCATTCTTCTCTCTCAATACCAGGCAAAGTCTTCTACAGGGTATTGTTAAACAGAACGAAGGACTTCGTAGACGCCCAACATCGAGATCAACAGACTGGATTTCGTAAGAATCGATCGTGTACTGACCAAATTGCTACATTACGGATCATTGTGGAACAATCAATTGAATGGAACTCACCACTCTACATCAACTTCATCGATTACGAGAAAGCATTGGATAGCGTTGACAGGAAAATACTGTGGAGGTTTGTTCGACACTACGGTGTGCCTGAG